GCCCTTTCGGCCCCCCCGATCTCCTTCTTCTCCCTTTTCTTTTCTTCTTCCTCTTCTTTCTTTCTCTTTTTCTCCTTTTTCCCTTTCCCTTCTTTTCCTTTCTTCTCTTTTTTTTTTTTTTTTTTTTTTTTTGCGGGGGGGGGGGCCAAGGCCCGCTCGGCCCCCCCCTGGATCCGCGCCTCCCCCCCCACCCCTCTTAAATCCATCACTTCTCGTGTTCATGATTATTTATTTTTACATGACCGTAATCATGTTGAGGTAAAGTATTGATCAGTTTTTGACTTACATGCATAGTACCTATCCACTTGGTAGTATCCCTCCTTTCCAGTTGCGCCGGGTGAGGCGACATCGTCGTACCGGACGAACACGGCGAACAAGACGATGAACAGGATCTCGAATAAGATGAGGAACGTCGTCAATTTGCCCCGAAAGAAACCCATGATGGCGGTGAAGTTATAAACCTTGTTTTCACACTTTTCAACACGCTGTTGCTAATAACACTAATCGGTTCGGTGATTGAGGATGACGATGAGGTGGAGATCGAACCCTAAATGCCTGGAGTTAATTGCCGTGGGTGACTAGCTTGGCTGGCAGGTAAGTGCGGACAAGCGGAGTACATTGGACTAAATAGCTAACATCGGGAGTAGTATGTAGTTTATCAATGACTCTGATAGGAGCTGGTTTGCAAGCGTTGGTATATATTACAGGAAACCAATGGGTTCACGTTTGCCACGAACCTGGAACACGTCAGTGATAACGGTATCAGTAGTGAAGAGGCGGGGCTACCACCAGCTTACGCGTCGTAGCGATACAGCAAGGCTAAGGGGGTGTGGCTAAGCAAAGGTTTTCCATCCGTTTATGAATTATTCAATATTTTCTATAGATGGTGCCGAATTAGCGTCCTATTCATAACATTCTTTACCCTTCACATTGAAAAGATCCACACAGAAAGACAGATGATTGTTCCTGTGCATTGTCATTAGCTACCAGCCGTGAACTACAGATGTATTGTTATGATGAGAAGATTGATTGATTTTTTTTTTTTGATTTTTTTTTTCGACAAGCTTTCAACATACAACAATATACAATAATAACAGATCAAAAATAAGTCAGCTTGAACAGAATAACCACGAAAGGTCGAGAGCTTATTTCCAGAGTAATTTTTTCATCGATTTTCATATCACGGCGGATAATCTTTTGTCTCCTTGATAATAACCAGATTGATTTTTTTTTTTTTTTTTTTTTTACATTGATTTTCATATCGTGACGGTATTTCATTTTGTCTCATTGAAAATATTTAATGATCCGGAGATTGATTACCCCTCGACAGGTTTGTTTGTATGTGTATATGAGGATCAACCTTGTAGGAATTTTATAGTAAACAGGTCGGTGGTCCAGGAGATATAGCAGGGGTGAGGGGAGAGCCCGGCCCCCCACTCAGTAATATTTAGGGTATACGCATATGCATGTTCCCTCCTTTTGAAAACACCCCCCCCCCCCCCCCTAAGTCCGGTGTGTAGAGTCAATACGGGCCGGATTTTTGTGTTATACGAGCCGACTCTGGTGCGTGAAAAGTACCCCTTTGCCGGACATTTTGGGAACACGCATGGTATCCCTCCGTGCACGGAGTGGGGGTGGGGGCGGGGGGGGGGGAGACGATGTTTTGTTCCCATTTGTTCGAATGAAAATGGGAAATATGATTAGCATGTGTTATGGTAGGTATACGTGTAGATAATATGTCAGCACAGGTTATGGAATGGCAATTATACTTCTTGTGACGAAACATTGACCCCCCCCCCCCCCTCTCCCTTCCCGATAAAAAAGCTCATTGATAAATTGTACTTTGCCTTATATCTGTTTATAGTTTTGACATTTGTTTTTCCTCCATTTTCATAATTTAGACATACTTGGTGTAAATCTGCATTGAAACACGAATCCAGAAAGTATCAAAGACCGGGGAGGGGACATAACACGTACTAGTCCGGCCATGCAGTGTACTTTCAACAAGTTTGGGAACCGACGACACCCCTTGCCCGAATATTTAATTTCTATTACACTTCAGGCATCTCACTTCCCGAATATAGGATCGTTGAAAATCATTGGGGTTGCGGCCCCCCCCCCCCCCCCCAGCCCAATGCTTGATTCGTATGCTCATTGAGGGAGGGGGTGTGGGGGTTATGTTGTTCGGCATCACAGGCCCCGATACAAATGCTGTACTGTAGACCCAATATTGCAAGTTGTACTGATTCTTTTCCTGGGTGCTCAAACGGGAGGGGGCGCTATACTGTAGATTATCAATTTCCAGTAAAAGATGAGAGAAAACCTTTGGAAATATAGCTGTTTCATGAAGTGACCGTTTCCAATCGAGAGGGGGGGGGGATTAATTGTTTGTACCCTGAAAACTCACTTTTATACGGATAAAATTGTGTTTGAATCAAATAATATCAGTGTTATTATTTTGTGAAAAGACTTGTAATGAAAATGAAATAATTATTCCTCTTTCTTTGACCCACATTTAATATATACATAATTAGTAACCATGGTGGCCTTTGTCAAGGGACAAACTACCAGGTTACCAGGTAAGGAAAAAAAAGTCAGTGCTTTTTCGCTGGGGTACTGAAGAATTTTTCCTATGAGCCCTCCTGAAAATAACCAAGGTAGCGTGATGGAGCACTCCTACATCGGCTTTTGTCCCCAGAATATATAATAACTTATTTGGACGTTGCGCCCACCCAAATTTCAAATTCCTGGACCCTCCACTATTTTCATCACTCTTTTATATTATTTTATTTACTTTAAATTCACAAACCTATGTTAAGAATGGACTTCTGTATAGCTAAAACTCATTTCCAAGAAACAAGATGCACAATACCCATTGAAGATGCAATGCTATCCGGTAGCTTCACAATCACAGAAGAAGGTTACAAATGACGTCACAATCAAAGAAGAAGGTTACAAAGTAATGACGTCGTGCAGAGGCGTATCCAAGTCTTGGTCTCAGGAGGGGCGAGAGATTTTAAAACTTGCTGTGATCTATATACCTTTAGACAAAAAAAGGTCATGATATTGATAACAAGTTCTTTGAAATAGGACCATGGTTTGCATCACGGCCCGGAAAGGGGGGGGGGGGGGCAAGCCGGATCAGGAATAACTTATTTTAGGGGATTATTGTAAGTGTAAAATGTCTAGACGCTTGTATTGGTGTATTTCCCGATCAACAGTAATTGCTGCTCTAAGGGAGACTCACTAAGTACTAGTGAGGCTACATTTCTTTCTTGGTCTGATATCTGGCAGGTTGGGACAATTGAATTGCCCCCTTTTATATGCCATCCTTAAATTAAAGAGAAGGTTGAGTTCTGGGAAGAGGTGAAAATAAATTGTGAGCGGTTTCATTGTATTATGCAAGTGTGGAAGAACATCAGATGAAAAATGTTCCCTGAAAAGCATGGCTCTTCAAATGCCTTAATATTTTAAATATAGCATGTAACATCATAACAATCGGGACGGATTTTTATGCCACATGTTCATATACACTGTCGCTCATATAGTTGGAATATTTTTTGTTTACCCCAATTTATTTATGGAATTATTTTGACAATGATTTATTCCTAATAGCTCTAGATAATGGTATACATTCTCAGATTTTATTGAATAATAATTTGCCAGTGTTTGTTTTGCGTTACTGCTAAAGCATGTGTATGCTACTATGCTTATCAACTAGGGGACCTACGCCCTTAAGTCATAAATGACAGTAATGTGGATTAATGCCCCACAAAAGGGCACTAATATGGCACATCGACACGGTTTTGATCCCGGGGCTTCACATAAATTATCAATAATTCATTTAATTCCCCCCGGTCCCCAGCACTAATTTGTTTTGGGCTTAAAGGGGGCGGATTGAACATTCCTTTTTTAACACCCCATCCCCCCCCCCCTTGATCAAGGGGGGGGGGGCAAATTTTGATTTTTGTTTTAAAATGGTAAAATTACGTTACCATCTTTTTTTTTCTCTCCTGTTTTTAGCCAGGGGCCGGGCCCTTTGTCGCCCCCCCCTCCTCCGTGGATCCGCACCCGCTTTAACTGAATGATATTGTCATAATTATAACCTTATCCCTACAACTGAGCTGGTTTTAGTTCATAAATAGTCCTTTGAGTTGGCTTGTGGGTTCAATATTTTGTATGCAGCCATCGGACTGTTTAAAAAAATAAACCACCAGGTGCAAACATTATTATCTAGTTACCTCTTCTTCCGGGGGCATAGCAAGAATATATCAAAATGGGGGGGGGGGGGGGGGGCGGTGGATCACTGATGGATGTAATATGTCATAAATGCAAGTTTACCCAAATCAAAATGAAAAAGTGGTCGAGACCATCGAAAGTAACAGGTTCATTCATTTTTTTTTTTTTGTCTTTGGTTATTTTCCTGCAGTCACACACATCATTTGTTTTTGTATAAGGACAAAGGCAAGCGTTTTATTAAGTTGTTTGCTTTTATTATTTGTTTGCTTTTATTATTTGTGTCCCGGTACCGCAGGCTCTCATATGCTTATTGGTGCTGTTGTTGTCGTCGTCGTCGTCGTCGTCGTTACTTGTATTTGTTTCAAACTACTGTATTCCTTTCCTCTTTAATTTTTCTTATATAGTTTTTAAAATATTTTTTAGTAATGTCATAATCACCAGAGGGCAGCGTTTCACGAAACCTTCGAAGTTCATTGTGTTGCTACTGGTCCAGTTTAACAACGCATTATTAATTCATAAGCGTTCTACAGTGGGATAGGCCATATTGGTGAACGGTTTCGTAAAACAATGCCCAGTATATACACTCCATCTTTCATTTATATTTCATTTATCAAAATGCATTCTTTTGTCTCCGATCCCTCCCCCCCCCCCCCCCCCCCCCCCCCCCGGTAAAAAAAATCACCTCATTCTACATTTCCTGTCACGTGAGGGAGACATTTCATTTTCCGCGGGCCTACTAAAAATAAATAAAATAGTCTAGATCTATAATCGTTTTCGATTCCTTTTGAAATTGTTGCTTTCTTCTATTATTGTGAAGGGAAATCTGTTCAGACCATCACTTCTTACTCATTTTACGACATTGGTGAGTTATTTTGTCACTGGTTTCTGTCTAGCTTATTTTGTTCAATTCAATTTCAAATGGATTGGTAGGGTACAGCCCCACACGTAGTTATTTGTGTAAGCAGTAAGTGGATGCCAGTCCTTTGCCCCTCCAAACAAAATTTAAATTGTGTCGATAGCGTCACTCGATTATTTTTACTTTTGATCATGTCGTTTGTTATATGAATTAGATCGAGAAGTATATTGTTGATTTTGTAAGTACAAAAAAGCATAGGTCTACCGTCTAGAGTCTAGATTAAACCGCCTAGATCCGCCCCTGCAATTCAAGTGCAACATCCTTGGTGATCTTCTTCTAAATATTGATTTACAGGTCGAGTTACATTATTTGCTGGTCTTTTAGAATAACCAGATTTCAGAGGATTCACACTTTTCACAACGAAAAACTTCTCCATGTTTCAGTCCTTGCGCAGTCGTCTCCAGCTCCAGCAGATATTTGGCGTCAGCGTGCACACCGGTACTACTGTCTACTGGCACAGTATATCCTCTGCAGACGGCTGCACTGCGAGCTTCCGTTGTTTGCATCGGTGATAGGCCTACTCATAGAATCACCCCCGTGAGCAACCTGACGGGGGCGATTATGGAGCTCACGAGGGGGAATCGCCCACCGCCCCCGTGTATTTTGAGCGCTGGCTGTACATATGTACATTTGAGTGATTTCAAGTACGGTGTTCGGTGTTGGTTTTGGTGTTGAGAACGCGGAAAGGATGCTGAACCGAGCTCCAAGACCGACGGTCAGATTAGAAGGACGATACCGATCACGCATGTGTGTTATCGATGATGTCCTACTCAGATTACTCTGAGAATCAGAAAATCCAATAAATTACATCATATCAAATATTGAATGTAAAGTCATATTAAAAAGTCAATAGATAAAATATATTTCTGTTGAAAAACATATAGGTCTATATAGCTCCCATGATTTGTTTGTGTTTTTACTTTACAATAGATTTTTAAAATTTTACCTTGGCATGATCGTGAGATTCATCATTCATGCCAGATGTCCGTATAGTTACCTGCAGTATACACCAACACCGAACTTGAAATTATGAATTTCTCAATCCCTTGGGGCTGGTGTTGGTGAATGGAAAAAATTACACGTAAATCGTCAACACCAACCGCGATACTCGGTTCAGCAGACGACATTCAACACCAGCCCTCAACACAGACTACCGGAAATACGTCATATTTCCCCGAGGTCAATCCCAACACCAGCCTGATTTCAAGTTCGGTGTTGTGGCTGGTGTTGCTGTTCCCACAACACCAACACCAGCTTTCAACACCGAACTTGAAATTACTTAGTGAGTTTAAGCGCTCCAATTGGCCGATCCGCTCGAGTGGCTTCGAATTTAAGTGAGAGAGGGCCTACTTAACCTAAACACAACTTAAGTTAAATGGCAATGTCAGTAATAATATTACGTCACACTAAGAAGATTTGAGTTTGACATGTCATGCTTTAAACAGGTGACGCACTTCACACATAACTGACGCACACTTGAAATTGCACACACATAAAATGAAATAGAAAAATCAAAGAAAATTCAGAATAAATTTCTATATTGGTTTTTCGCTGGCTGTCATTTGCTCAATGTTATAAGATATTGGTGCAAGGAGAAAGCTTGCAATTTTCCGTTTAGTCTGATACCAAAATCATGATATTTCTGTCTAACCTTCTATTTGTTACAATTTTTTTTCAGCATCCTTAAAAGGTTAGGAACAGTGTATTTCACTTTACTTTAAGCCTTACATAACTTTTTTTAAAGTTTGAAAAATTGTCATTTTAGTCATATTTAAGGTACAAACTTGCAAGTTGTCTGAAATGTTCGTTGATTTTTCTATTTTATGTGTGTACCTATGCTGAGTGTGCGTCAGTTATGTGTGAAGTGCCTGTTTAAAGCATGACATGTGAGTGCGTTATGTAATATTGTATATTGGCATGCCCATTGCACTAAGTTAAGTAGGCCCTCTCTCAATTAAATTCGAAGCCACTCGGCAGGGCATTTTCTAAATGTACAGCGCTCAATGTGTAAAGTTTTACATTCCCAGTGTTCTCATCATAATATTGAATTGCACTATTATAGTTGAATTTTGACCTTTCACCTATAACACACCCACAGGACCAGGACGATGGGAGTGCTTCAGCGATTGGACTCTGCCCTCGACTTTGAGGGGATTGGCATCCCTACGTCTGTCCTAGCCAGCTTCCTGGGCTGGTTCTCCCTCTACTGTGTCCTGTGCTTGACCAACTCCAAACGAAGCTATGAGTGGCATTGTCGGGTGGTCACCAGTGTGCATGCGATCATCATCTCAACGCTAAGCTACATCTTTGGGATGTACTACAATCCCTGGTTCATTACAAATCCAGGTGAGACATAATGATAATCATCATCATAATGATAATAATACTATAATATGAGGAGGAGGAGGAGGAGGAGGAGGAGGAGGAGGAGGAGGAGGAGGAAGGGGAAGAGGAAGGAGGAAGGAGGAGGAGGAGGAGGAGGAAGAAGAAGAGGAGGAAGAGGAAGAGGAGGAAGAGGAAGAGGAAGAGGAAGAAGAGGAAGAGGAAGAAGAGGAGGAGGAGGAGGAGGAGGAGGAGGAGGAGGAGGAGGAGAAGAAGAAGAAGAAGAAGAAGAAGAAGAAGAAGAAGAAGAGGAAGAGAAAGTAGAGGAGGAAGAGGAGGAGGAGAAAGAAGAAGAAGAGGCCCTTTGTTATTCCAGGTCAAGAATTTTTTGTTATTTTTGTTGTTGATAATTTTATACAGAGTACAAGCTGTGAAAATATATTTATTTTTGTCAAATCTGGCTCTGACGATCGATCAAGTTAATTTCCTTTAATTTTTTTGTTAATGTTGCACAGCTGGACGAAACAACAATCTCGAGATACTGACCCTCGTGATCTGTATGGGGTATTTCCTCTTTGATTTCTGCTGGTGTATCTGGTTCCAAGAGGAATTCTTCATGATCATACATCATTTCTTGACCCTCGTCTGCATCACCGCCTCGCTCATCATGGGGATATCGGGCACGGAGGTCGGAGCGGCCATCTTTGGGTCGGAGGTCAGCAATCCCATGTTGCAGGTATGGATGATTCTACTTCCTGGTCATAAAGTTTTTTTAATGTGTCTCAAGAGTTCTGTTGTTTGTTTTTTCTTCCCATAACTCTTCTTTCTTTGTCATTTCTTCTTATCATACGGCTACCCAAATTTTTATGAAGTACTGTACATGTATCATGATTTATGAAGTATATGTATCATGATTTCAGAGAATATCTATTTGTCCCAGCTTCCGGGTCTTGCACCATGGTCATTTTTACATTTGTATCTTGCTTGCTTGGGTGTATAGTTTTCATTCATTATGTATTAAGTGGTCTGGATTAGTTGCTCTTGAGCTGAAATATTTTGCAATAAAATAAACCATGTATATCACATGTCCACAGGCGAGATACTTCATGCGTGAGATAGATTGATGGAAAATAAAATAAACCACATATGTATCATATTTCCACAGGCGAGATACTTCATGCGTGAGACCGGCCGCACCAAGACCCTGGTCTATGAAATAAACGACCTTGCCTTCATCGTGACGTTCTTCATTTGCCGTATGGGGATCGGTTCCTTCTTCCTCTACTCCTATCTCCGGCACCCCACGCCCCTCTTAATCTTCCGGATTGGCTCCGTGGGGCTGTACATCGTCAGCTTAATCTTCATGTACAGTATAGCTCGCTTTGCAGTCAGGAAGTATAGGAATTTCTTCATGAGATTGGTACGGGCAGAGAGGAAGGAAGGAGCCAAGATGACGAACGGGAATGCCCCTAAAGAGGTCATTGGAGCTCAGGTCACAGGGGTCACAGAAGGTCAGGTCACAAGGGTCACTGAAGGTCGGGTCACAGGGGTCACGGAAGGTCGGGTCACAGGGGTCACGGAAGGTCAGGTCAAAGGGGTCACTAAAGGTCAGGTCAAAGGGGTCACGGAAGGTCGGGGGAACGGGCATGCCAACAATCATGAGCATACAGATTAGTATTTATATGGATCAATTCTTTGGCATTGCTCAATGTGCAATGGTAGAAAAAACAAGGCATACTGTGTGTGTTTTGTGTTGAGAACCACAAAGGCATTAAAGTGTACCAAATTACCAATCACCCAAAATAAATTATGTTTTATATGTCAGTCCATGTTGTAGTTCAATGCCTAATTTCAAAATATGGGTTTCAAAAGGTATTTCTGTAAAGAGATATTGCAAATCTAAATACATTCATGGCTAAAAATACAGTGGTTTATGAGTACACTACTCGGGGCACTGTACACACTTGCAAGAAATAGTGCCCGGTTCCCCGTGCTCCATTTTATCTAAATCTTAAAATTTGTTCATACTTCTAAATTTCTGTTAGCCCATGGAATACAGGGTGATTAGGTTGACTTTTATAAATTCTAGGAGTTTCTAGCTCTACACAATTTGTTTTTAAAGGTGATTGGTACACTTCAAATCATTGTTAAAGGGTATGCACATATACATGTACACGTAGACGTAGTTAATACTCTTCTGGTTCTATGATGACACAACAGACACTACTAGTTTCACCTGCAGTTGTTTAGTATTGACCGTCCATAGAGTAATATGGAAGGAATTATCTACATACAAATATCAACTCTATTTTTGATAGACATTATCATTGATGAATTTGAAATTATCCACTTCTGATGACAGGATGAGAGCCTAAACCAAAGCGGCGGTGTAACATGAAGCTTAGAAATTGATTCTTGCAATTGATTTATTGATCTTACAATCAATTGATTGTATCTACATGTATTGATACATAGCACCTGTATGAGTCAATTGCTAATTGATCGTTGTGTTATTAAAGGGTCCTGTATGACCTAACTTGTGTAGCTACTGGACCAACAGGCCACTAAGCCAACAATCTGGCGCATGGGCTATGGAGCTCCTGAGCTGTCAGTCTTGTCCATTGTACAGGGTTGATGCTGTGACAGGTGTCTTTCATTCAATCATCCATTTTTTTGTCCTGTAATGAAAACTCTTTGATGTAACTATCGACTAATGGCTCTTTCTTGGATCACAATATGAGTCAATGGTCATATAAAAAAGAGTTGAAATTTTCCAATGAAAATAGATAGATAATAGATATATTGGACTCATTGCCTGTAAGTTCCCGTGTTTTGCTTTCATGGTCAATTTTGGTTAGGATTTGAAAGAGAGAAATTGAAAAAAGAACAAAATATCAACTCTATTTTGATAAAATATTTATACTTGCCAAATGTAAACATCAATGCAAATCATATGTACTTTTGGTAATAGTGGATCATGTGATATAGATAATATACATCTTCATATATACAGCAGCTCAAACTGAACATGTATTTATGTTAATAATGAAGCGCCCTTATGCCCACTGGACGTCTGTGCAGTTTTAATACCAGTAGGTATTTATATTTTTCAAAGCAAAGGAAGCCATTTTCTATATGTATTTTCATGGCAAGATTGCAGTGTATTTTTGACATCTCATTTTGAATTTGCAATTTTAAACAAATATGTTGCCTGTCGAGGTATGATTAGAAGATGATATTCTTAAGCAGATTTTTATTGATTAATTTATCAATTTATTTATCCATCTATTTGTTTGTTCAGTTATTTTTTTATTTTTTTATTTTTTTATTTTTTTATTTTTTTATTTTTCTCTTCTCCTGACCTAGTAATCTGTACACATCATCTGCAGAAAATTACTATGTAGTAATAGTATATTGCGCAATCATGTTGATCATCTAAATAGAATAAGGGCCAAAACATGTTCAGCTACACTTTAATGTGTTTTCAAAAGGAGAACTCCACCCTGATATTAAGTTGGTAAACTGCTTGTGAATGAGTATAAGGAGCAAACAATGGACTCTCACTGTGCCACAGTTGACTTTTGTCCCATGTACATTGTACAAGATACTGCCAACAATGTGACGGTTTTAGGTTTTGACCCTCAGCAAATGAAGAGTTAACATGCTTCATTTACACATTCCATTTCCTTCGTAGACTGCCTCCTTTGTTTCTAGTGTTTCTCTAGGTGTTTATGACCAATTCAAACTGAAATATATTTAAATGACCATGTAAACTTCTCAATTTCACCTTCTCTTAATACTTACCATCTAACCTATATTTCAACATTGAATAGATTGGTTTTAAAAATTGTATATGTTTTTTTTTAAAGCAAAGTATGACTGGTTTACAATCAGGTTTGCCAGTGATTCTGCGTGTTGTGTGCGTTTTGGTGGTATAATAATATGGGAATTATGGTAAGAGTTGATTTGGGAAATTTGCCTTGGTTTTCATCACTATTGAAAATAATTGTATCTTATATTCTTGATAGAGAGTATTATCACAGGGAATAAAGGGGTAAGTTTGATGTGTTTGCAGAGCTTTATTTTGTAAAACAATGAGTCTTGTGGATTTTAGTGTTTAAAAGGTAGTGTACATGTATGACTGCATGTGAAATACAACTCTGACCTCTATTTGTGTGATATCAAACATGACAAATGCTTTAAAAGGGGTACATCTTTATACCTGTGCTCGTAATTCTTGTAAGGTTTGTAATTAATTGAAAGGTGAAAAGATTTCCCATTTAAATTACAAATAGCATTTAATATGAAACTTGCCTCATATGTATACATCTCAATACCAACTCTGAAATATGTTTGAATTATGGTAGCCCTCTGTCGTAATGTACCGTAACCAAATTGAATGCATAAGTATTTGTGACGTGCCTCTATGTAAATTATTTCATTCCCCTGTTACAAATTCTTGTATCTCAATAGTCGGTATACTTTAGTTTCTGATTGGTGGGAACATTATGTAATGCCCTTCCAAGCAAGATGTAATAGTAATACCATAAAGAATTGGCATGCATAAAACGTGAATATTGCAAGGAGTCAAGATTCGCGAAAGCTAAATTCCCCGAAAAGTTTAATAATACAATGCATTGAATGCCAGTACCATACTAAACAGTATATTTGTCGAAGTAAGTTGACTCTTACAATTGTATGTCTGATATATATATATATTTTTGTGGATTGCAATTCACAAAAGTTTCATGCCACAAAAAGAGGCCGTTGGCTTCAGTTCGCAAAAATCTTGGGTCACAAAAGTGTCTCCTTTTACAGTTACCGGCGGTAATGCAATTTGCATTCTGACTACCAGAATTGAAATACCAACAATTATTCGTAACTGGTGAATGAAATGAGTTGTAACAAGGCACAAAGATGTATGCATTCAATTTTACAGTTACCGGTACGTTATGGAAATGGCCTATCAGTATTAAATTTACATGGCAGAACCCATGTAAAATGTTTTTAAAAATTGTAATATCTTAACTGTTTAAGTATGTGAAGAATAACATACCGGTAGTCCAAGGAATGATTATTTGAATTTTATTTAATTTTCTTTTATCACTTAGTGGACACATTTTGCCAGCCATATTAGACTGGATATTTCAATAGTACTTTAGGTTTGGGCCTTTAAGTACCCTACACGTATTTCTGTTGAATGAACTTATAATATCTTTTCACTGCATGATGCATTGCAAATTGTTAAAGTGTTTTTCTTTCAATGCATGTTCCATCCAAGTATTTCAAATTATGTGTTCGCTTCTATTTATTAATGTATTATGCAGCTCATTTATTTTCTTTGTACTACTTGAAAACTACAGGTGTATTTTATGCATGATTTATAAATATTGTATTGTATCTCTTTTGTTTTGTATTTAATGGCAGCTGCAATAGATTGTGTCACATAACTCAAGCACTCATTGTAACTCTATGCATAGTGGTCACAATAATGGGTGGTGGTTGGTGGTGGTTATTTTACCTGACTGCTAAGCAACCCGACGGCTTGAGGTCCTCTCCGAGGGACCTGGTAATTAGGATTAATGCCTCACCAAAGGGCACCTATTTGTACCCAGCACTTAAATGCACCCATGCACTTAAAGCCTCATTGTACTCCGTATCTCTGTGTATTGTATCATAATTCATTAACACCGGTTTGGGTTGAATTAGCAATCAATGTGTGTACAGGGGTGTTTCACAAAGACTAAGATTGACTTTAAGTTGGACTTAACTATGACAGGCCATTCATGCCACTGGTTGCTCTCACCATTATGATCTTTAGATAACATTCTTGTCAATAATGAATTATTAAAAATGTTAATTCTGTAGATTTGTGACAATGATTTGTACGTCCCTTGAGAGACCAATGCCAGTCAATGGTGAGAGCAAACAGTGGCATGTCGAATGGCCACTTAAAGTCAATCTTAGTATTTGTGAAACACCCCCCCCCCCCCCACCCCCCCCCCGGTCTATCAGGCAGCGAAACTTGTTGTCTAGCCGGAAAATACTTCAAGGGTGAGGGAAATGTTATTATGATGAGAATTCCTTATGGCGGTAGGTTCAGGGCACAGTTAATTCAAAATACCTGTCGATTCAAAAAGTGATGTCCACTATTGGTGATTAACAATAGCTTCGGGGCAAATGCCCAAATGGTGTCAAATTGTCCCAAAATTAAAGCACCAAATACGTATATGAATTTCCTACAATGTCTACAAGTCAACTAGTTTTTGAAACCTGTAGTACAATTACCCATATTTGCACTTGGAATAGTTACAAAGATTATTATTATTTATTAATAGAGAAAGTTACCTGTTGTAGGATGATTTTATACCAAACCCATTGTTTTTCATGGGTTCTTTTCTTTGATAAACTAATGCATTGCTAATTTTATGAGTTACATTTTTTAATTTAAATGTAGTATTAGAGCTTGCCATAATAGATATCAACTCATTTATCTATTGTAACAAATCATTTTCACTGTGATAACTTATTAATGCTGTTGTCATTTAACAAAATGTCAATGAATCATTTATTTTATTGAATTATCAAATATGAATACAGAATAACTGTCACCCATCTTCTCTGTAATAAGGCAAATGTTTGTTTTTTTCCCGAGTTATAATTAATACTGAATATGAAAATAATTGTTTGGAATGAACATTTTCACAGGAGTCTTTAAGTACTTAATTTACCCAGTATATGGACAACCACCTGTGAAATAAAATAAAATTCATGTTTAAGCATTTATGGATGATCATACAAATAAAGGCAGTTTCATGGAAATGTTCAGATATTTCTTTATCAGGTGAAAAAAAAGTTATTATAAAGCCAGCCATGCGCTATCACACTATTTTCTGCCTTGTTGACTTGTGAAGTGTGATGGATAGTACTTGTTTTACAAAATTATTGATACTTCATGAAAAAGGTTTATAACATTATATCATAAGTATAGTCTATAGGCCAAAGCAATGGATTAGTTGATTGATTAGTTGATTGATTAGTTGATTGATTGGTTGACTGACTGATTGGTTAGTAAGTTGATTGATTGGTTGGTTAATTAATAAATTATTGATTGGATGGTTGATTGATTGATTGAATGATTGATTGGTTGACTGACTGATTGGTTAGTAAGTTGATTGATTGGTTGGTTAATTGATTAATTTATTTATTGATTTGGTTGATTGATTGATTGATAAATTATTGATTGGATGATTGATTGAATGATTGGATGGTTGATTGAATGATTGATTTATTGATTGATTGATAAATTATTGATTGAGTGGTTCATTGATTGGTTCATTGATATAACTATTTATTCATTTATTATTATATTAAGATGATCACAACTGTTTTCGAGAAATCATATCAAGAGTAATTGCAATATATCTCATAGATATCATATTCGGATTACAATATGTGCCATTTGTTCATTATTTGTAGATTTTGTACAACAGGTTTGCCAAGATTGTACTGTGGTTTATAATACATTATAATTTATAATCATGAATTAATCACTGTTAGTGTTTATTGTGAGGCATGTTCTGTTTCAAAGGGTGATATACAAAATGGGTCTTAATTTAATAGTGAGGAAAACTGAATCTTTCTCTCGTCGTTCATTCTTTTTCATCTTCTTCTTCTTTTTCGTCAATGTCATCTTCTTCTTCTAATTCTTCTTCTTTTCCTAATTCTTCTTCGTCTTCTCCTTCTTCTTCTTCTTCTTCTTCTTCTTCTTTTTCTTCTTCTTCTCCTTCTTCTTCTTCTTCTTCTTCTTCTTCTTCTTCTTCTTCTTCTTCTTCTTCTTCTTCTTCTTCTTCTTCTTCTTCTTTTTCTTCTTCTTCTTCTTCTTCTTCTTCTTCTTCTTCTTCTTCTTCTTCTTCTTCTTCTTCTTCTTCTTCTTCTTCTTCTTCTTCTCCTTCTTCTGCTGCTGCTACTTCTTCCATAGTAATAACAACAATGATAGTACTACTTCCTTTTGTTAGCATATAGGCCTATGCTTCACGAAAACAACTCATTGAAAGAATTAAAGCTTTAGTGTGAAATTATTATTCATTTATTTGGGGTCTGGAATCATGTGTAAAAGTACAAACTACAATGTAAATCATTACAATAGTCATCCGAAACTGCATGAAGTGTCTGTAATTCTCGGGTGACCTCTACACCTAAAAAGTTGCGATTCTGAAGAGAAGTTCACAAAAGCAACCCCATATATAGACCTAGGAGGGATTATTCCAGTTTGCACGCTATGCATGTATTATTACGCCATATAGCCAGGTCAATGAGTTGATGGATTGCATGCATTGTTTGAGCGCGTTAGAGAGGGTCTTCCATACCCCTTCGTCCAAGCGCGTAGCCAGGATTTCATTTTAGGGGGGGCGGTAGTGAGCACGCGAAGCGTGCGAATCACTTAAAGAGCGCGCGAAGCGCGCTCCCTAGGGGGGTGGGTGCAGGGAGGGGGGAGTTTCCCCCCCTCCCGCGCGAAGCGCAGAAGCTTTGAAAGAAGACGATTCGTTGTACCCTGCACGACTCATAATCCTTGTCTGAATTCAGTCCCTCCCCCCTCTCGCGCGAAGCTTTGACGTTTCATTAAAATATTAGAGAAAAGAAACGATTCGTTGTACCTAATTTCCCGACTCTTAATCCTTATCTGTACTCAGTCTCCCTCCCGCGCGAAGCGCGGAAGCTTTGAAAGATGACGATTCGTTGTCCCTTTCTCGACTGAATCCTTGTCTGAATTTAGTCCCTCCCGGCCCCCTCTCACGCGAAGCTTTGACGTTTTATTAAATTGTTAGAGAAAGAAGACGATTCGTTGTACCTTTCTCGACTCTAAATCCTTGTCTGAATTCTGTTCCCCCCCCCCCCCCCCTCTCGTGCGAAGTTTTGACGTTTCATTTAATTATTAGAGAAAGAAGACGATTCGTTGTTCCTTTCCCGACCCTTAATCATTGTCTGAAGTCTGTTCCCCCCCCCCCCTCTCGTGCGAAGTTTTGACGTTTCATTAAATTATTAGAGAAAGAAGATGATTCGTTGTACCTTTCCCGACCCTTAATCCTAAATTTGAACTCAGTTCCCCCCTTCCCGCGCGAAGCGCGGAAGCTTTGACGATTCGTTGTACCGTTCTCGACTCCTCTTCCCTTTTTCTTCCTACGTCTTCCTTTTTTTTCTTCTCCTCTTTCTCTCTCTTTTTTTTTTTGGCCGTCGTTTTGGGGGGGGGGCGACCGCCCCCACCGCCCCCCCCCTGGCTACGCGCCTGCCTTCGTCCTTGAATCAACTCTCTCTACATCGTATTCGTCGAAACTTGGAAAAACATTTTGTAATTTGAATTTGTCATTATTTTGTTTCCTTTTTATAACCTTTTTTTTTAACAAAGCCAATCCAATATGTAAAATATAAATCTTGAATGTGTTTACCACTAAGTTTTAACTTCCGTAATATTATGTTTGAGCGAGTTGTCAAAAAAAAGTCGAATCTGTTAGGGCGATTTTTCGGAGCAAGTCGAAATCGGTTCGCCTAATTCGCCATCTTGGTGAGTGAAGATCGGTGGTCATCCATAACGTCGTTTCTCATGGTTTCGATCATTTTGATCACATTTTATCGAAGATGCCATCTTGTTCATATCTCTACTGCCGTAATTCAACGAAGAATTACAAGACAGCAGACGGCCGAAAGCTTTCTTTTCATAAGTGAGTTTTTTACCTTTAAGCTTTGCGTTGAGAGTTGAGAACTCGCGATTTATCATGCTGCATGCTGGCGCTTGCCGTTGAAGTCGACAGGCAACACACCACACAGCCTTCCCTGCTGGCCTGGGCTGCACCGAGGCCAAGCATGCTTACCCACGCCTGCGCCTGACCTGGCCTGGTCGCGCTCGCGCTCTGCTTGTCGACATGCCAGCGGCTTTGCTTAATAACCGTCCGTGACATCCTCCTCCAGCTTTTCCACTGGCACTGTCAAGTTTATAAAGTTATTACTAGAGGTCTGGGCTAGTTAGTTTATAACCTTACTAATAATCTAGAAGTCTAGATCTTTAAATTACGTACTGGGCTCTCATGCATGCTCTTGAATCAAAATTCAATTCAAATGAACTGTGTGTGAGTGATGTGTATGAAGTGAGTGTTAAAAAAACTTGCAAGTTGCACATGTGATGTTGCAAGTATTTAAATTAGCTACATATGGGGTGTTGCGTGTTGTTAGGTGTCCGGACCAGTAGCATACGCAGGGTTTTTTCAGGGGGGGGGGGGGGTTAAATTTGAAAATCGCGCCCAAAATTTTGCAACAACTGCTGCTGAATAAGCTGGGGGGGGGGGGGGAGGGGAGGTCCAGTTTTTGAGGAAAATTTTTGCAACAACTCAGCCGTTTGCTGAATAAGGGGGGAGGGGGGGGGGTAAGACTAAGAGCACATGTAAAAAAAAATGGGGGTCCCGGAAATTGGAAAATTAAGCCGACTGATATTTCGTTCAGTGAGGGGCCGGGGGGGGGGGGTGGGATCATTTTCATAACTTTACGATGTAGATGAAGACTATTAATTATATCAGTGGAGTACAAGTAGATCTAGTTGTTCTGCTGATACATGTAAGTCTGGCTTCACTGACCGCCTCTACTCTACATTGTTAAATCTTTCATTGATTTCTCTCTAGCATCAACATGTACCCGTTCAAATCACCATTGTGAATAAAGAATGAAAGATGAATTTGCTTTGCTTTTGTTTGAATTTTCTCCATTTAGGTTTCCTCGTGTAGATAGAATTCGAGAATTTTGGCTTGAAAACCTCCGTAGGGACAGCTGTGAGGCGAAGTTTGAGCCCAATTCTAGAGCTGTGCTCTGTTCAGAACACTTCACGGATAGCTGCTTTGATGATAAATCCACCAAGTATCCTAGACTTAAAAATGGTGCTGTCCCAACATTGTTTCTTCGAGAGGGATCTATGAAGGTAGGACGGAACAAAATCTTTAATTTAGGAAATCTCATTAAAGAAACAGTATATTGAGTACACAAATCACAAAGTATTTATCATGATGACGAACAGTAAATTATCATTTATACAAGAAACGAGTACAAAAAAAATTGTTTTAGTAACATGAAACCATATGAACATCATGTGCCTTTCAAGTAATTGAAAGAAGGAGAAACTAGAAGGAGAGAGAGATGTTAAATTGTGTACAGAGTCTATAGTCTTTATTGTTTTGAATAGCTTTTGTAGATTTCCCCCAAAAAAACTCCTTTCTGTTCTTGAGCAAGGCATTTTACCTTCATTGCTTCACTCCAAAGTCCACCCAGGGCCCTGTTTCATAGAACAAGATATCAATAACAAGTTACAAGCTACTGTTATAAGCTACTGAAGTCATGGCATCTGATTGGCTGAGAGCAAATTTGTAATAGAAATTTAGCATTCGTTATTGATAACAAGTTTATGACACAGGGCCCAGGGTGGAGTGGAGCAAACCGTATCCAGACACCTACCCCCTGGACATCCACCCCCCCCCCCCAGTCAACTACCCCCTAGGACAATTACCACCTAGGGCAACCACCCTCTAGGACGACTACCCCCCTCCCCCCCCAGGACGACTAACCCCAGACAACTCCCCCCTAGGACAACTATCACCCCCCCCCCCCCAGACAACTACCCATTTGGATAGTTGTCCGGGGGTACCGGTAGTTGTCCTAGAGGATGGTTGTCGTAGGGGGTAGTGTCCGGGGGGGGGGGGGGGGGGTAGTTCAGGGGTAGTTGTCCTAGGGGGTAGTTATCCATGGGGGTAGTTGTCCTAGGGGCTAGTTGTCCAGGGAGTAGTTGTCCTAGGGGGTAGTTGTCCTAGGGGGAAGTTGACTGGGGGTGGATGTCAGGGGATAGGTGTCCTAGAACCGGAGGAAACATCCTTGTGATTAGATTAGCATGTGTGGGCCCTTGAAAAAAGTGATGGGATGGAATGGCAGAGGAGTAAAGAGTGTGTGACTGAGGGTACATGTTATGCACCCGATTTGGTCAGTTTCATTATAACCATAGTACTTTTAATATGAGAAACATCATTATTGTTATGAATATTATTAGTAGTATCGTTCTTATTTTTTATATTTTTTAAAATCATTATTAGTATCCTAATTCTCATTTTATTGATCCATTCTAATAATAACTCATTATTGATGTTATCAATTTATTTAATTTATTTTTTATTTTGTGTGTATTCATGAAGAAAGTGGAACATGAGAATGAGGAAGAGGAGGAATCGAGCGACGAGGAGCGCGAGAGCTGGAGCGGATGGCACAGCTGGCCAAACAAGGGGGGGTCGACAGAGGAAGATGATGGACAGAAGGACGATGGATCCAAGGGACTAGAGGAACTGGAAGAGCTGATGGAGGAGGAGGAGGAAGAAGAAGAAGAAGAGGGGGATTTGAACGAGGAAAGAGACTGGATTGAAGACTCGGAAGGAGAAGACGGAGATGGGAAGGGGGCATCGGAGGACAGGACCAAGACCGAGCGGACAGAGACAGCGGTGCCAAGCCCCCCGGAGGAGGGGGGTGGAACAGAGACAGGGATAGGGACTGATTTACTCCATAAAGCTCAAGACTGTGTTCAAGGACATGATAGAATTACTCTTGATAACGTTACAATGGTAAGTAAATTTAAAGCCGCACTGTACTACTTGTAACTACTTGCTCCTTCTATATAGAAAACTTCCCCAATTGGTGTCTGTTGGTCCCCCATGATCCTCTTTTTCTTATGTTAACTGAGAGCTGAGTTTATGAGATAGCCACATGTCACAGTGACCTCGCTGGCTGGTCTAATCCCTTCTGGCTGAACTAGTACAGCTGGCCTTTAATAATTTATGCTGTATTCATTCATCTTCTTTATCCAGGGGAGGGGGGGGGGGAAGTGTTTCACAAAGACTAAGATCAACTTTAAGTTGGACTTAACTATGGCAGGCCGTTCATGCCACTAGTTCCTCTAACCATTCCTGGCATTGGTTTCTCAAGGGACGTACAAATATTGGTCACAAATCTACAGAACTTACCTGTTTTGATAGTTCATTATTGAAGAAAACAAATATTATGTAAAGATAATCACTGAGAGACCGATGGAGGGAGCAACCAGTGGCATGAACGGCCAGCCATAGTTAAGTCCAAATTAAAGTTGATCTTGGTCTTTGTGAAACACCCATCTGGGTGGTTTATTCAGTGAATAAACAATGGCGGTGTACATCAGAACCCTGCTTACAAAAGCAAATGAAAATGTGACGTAAACAAATGGACTAAAATAGTGAAACATGACAACAACAAATGTGAACCGGCCAGCTTGACCACTGATGGATCAATGTGTCACCTAACAGCCTTGTTTCATGGCAATCGAGTCCAAGTAGAGGTGTTACGGTCCAGTGGATAAATCTGCAGACTGTGAACCACAAGGTACAGGGTTCGATTCCCTGCCCCAACACTAACATTCTTTGGCAATACGTTAATCTACATGTAGGTGAGGTAAGTGGGTACCTTGTAGGATATTTCCTTGAAATGCACTGTGCGCTGATAACGGCTGCCAGAGCTAAAGCTAGGGTGATAATTTCCAAAGCTTGTTGGAAGGCATACATGTACATGTAGGTTCGAGTCCCGCCGCTGCACTAATGTCCTTTGGCAAGACATTGATCTACATTTGCCACACTCCACCCAGGTGAAGTAAATGGGTACCTAGTAGGAATTTATTCCTTGAAACGCAGCGCGCGTAACATCTGCACTGCTAAAGCCAGGGTAATTATGCCGCATTATTGTAGAGCGCTTAGAGACTTCTGACAAAGTAAGTGTTAGGCGCTATATAAGCACTGTAATTATTATTATATCAGATGTGTGATGCGCTAAACAAGAACGGAATATTGTTTTCCAAGCTCACTCTACTTTGTGCCCATACTGGTCAAAAGATATTTGCACACACTGTATAAGTTACAATTTAAAGTGTTTTGTAAAAGCCGATTGGCCCCACCCAGTTTTGTTTCATTTAACGTAGGAGAGAAATCCTTAGGCCTATTTACCAAAGGAAAAAACAAAGATTAAAGTAGTACATGTTTAACCATTTTTTAAAAGAAAATATATTCAACCTCATTCCACCTTTGTTGTTGCCCTTGGCTGTACAGGACTCCACGTTGACATCAGTGAGAATCGGCAACAAGAAGATGGTCTCTATGACCTTCCAAGATATCCTCAACTCTCTCGTCCCGACACAACAGATAGATTCCTCAAAAGTGCCTAAAGACAGCAATCCTACCTCCAATAAGGTCAAAGGTCACCCAGACAAAGGTCATCAGGACACGGGTTTTGATTTGCAAGGCTGGAAAACTGTCCAAGGGAAGGGAACAGGCGGATCTCGCAAGGCAACGAAACGATCGATCATCACCCCAGAATTCAAGGAATCGCTAACACGTCAGAACAAGGCTGCGCAGAAGACCAAGGATAAAGACACCACGAAGAACCGAAAGGACAAGCATATGGTCATCTCCATCTACCGGAAGAACACCATGATGCGGATCATATCCTCCAAGGATCTGCCGTACCTCTGTGGTGATTGCGGGTTGGCGTTCACTCACGCGTTTGTGCTGAAAAACCATGTTGAAGCGAAACACGGCTATTCTGAGCCCCCAGAGATAAAGGCAAATGGTGAAATACTGTCACAGGTAATTATATCTAGTAAATGAAGCATTATATAGCTAAGTTCATTCCCAGAGTTGGTCATTGTTAAAGGATGATGAAAATAATATTCCTCACATTTAAAAAAGAAAATTCTCTGAAGGTTTCACAACTAATCAGTTTTCACTTAGCCTTTTTTTATAGAAAAGTTGCAGCACTCAACAATTTTAAAATTTTTTTCAACCAAAATTAACAAAATGCTTTACCCAGGCGAGTAGGCAACATCATTATAAACAATGAGAACAGTAGTAGCAACAGCATTACGGAATGCATTTGTTTTGGATCTTCACCTCATTACTTTTTTTTCCCCACAAGGTCAAAATTAACGTCTGAAAGTCATTGAACTGCTCAGACATTAAAGGCCCACTGCACTACTTGTAGCTACTTGCAGTGGCGGATCCAGGGGGGGGGGGGGGGGCCGAGGGGCCCGGGCCCCCCCCCCCCCCCCCTTGAGAAAAAAAATCGTGTAAAATCACGTGATTTTTACCTTTTTGGGGGGTTGGGCCCCCCCCCCCCCCCCCCCCCTGGCGCTCAAGGGGGGGGGGGTGCAAATTGAAATTTTTTTTGAGGATCAAAAAAAAAAAATTGGGTCCGGGATGGTCCGGGACGGTCCGGGACATATATGGGACTGTAGCTTAAAAGCATCACACTTTTTTTGAACAAAACATCCCGGACCATCCCGGATCACCCCAGACCATGGTCCGGAGTGGTCCGTGCTCGTCCGTGCTGGTCCGGCTTTATATGGGACTGGATGGGTTTAAATGTATTAATGACTTTTAACAGTATGGGCTGGGAATAAGCCAGTTCACAGTAGCAGTCTGAGCATGAGCAGATAAAGGTCATTGCAGAACAAATTGTGAAATACACGGAGACGAAATACTGGATACTTGCTCATGAAAGTTATGTAATAATTATTCATTCATGCACAAGCAGTGTACTCCATGATACACAGGTGGAAGTATTCTCTGAAAAGGGGAAACAAAGGCTATTTATGTAGCACCTCCATCGCTGTAGGATTGATTATTTCAAAATGTACAAAGTGGACCTTTTCATGTTTTGAAGATCTGTGGATATTTGGGGTCATTGCAGCCATGTGCTATCCGTGAACTGGTCTATTGTCACATGGGTGACATTACATTTGTATTTAAAGAGAGTGTAATATAAAAGATTTCTTTGCATAATCTTATAATGCATTTCTTTTCTTTTCTTTTTTCTATGAAGGTCGTCATTCATCGAGACTTCGAAAAGAAGAACCTCAAAACCAAAACCCAGGTCAAAGAACTGCAAGAAAAGTATGCTAAAACAGAGTCCGTCAATGGCAACAGAGAGAGTGAACCTGCAGAACAATGGTTCCAGAAGGTTGATAAGTCAACCGGCTCCTTGTCCGATTCTGATTGTGATGGCGCATTACCAGTTGGCACTGATGGTGGTGATGACAGTGTCGACTGCAGTGTAGTTGAGGGTGCAGATTCATTTCAGAGGACTTCATCCAAAAAGAAGAAGCGCAAGCCAAACAGGAAACCAAAGACTGACGTTGCCGGAAACGTTATTTCGCAGAAAAAAAACAGAGACAGGTGCCATAGGTGTCATAGGTATTTTAAAAGTCGATTCGAATGCAAGCAGCATATAGCTGAAATGCATGGTGAGTTCTCCTCACAGGAAGTGGCTCAGGCAAGCTGGAACAAGACAACGGCTGGTTCATCGACCATGGAGGTGCTCAAGTGCATCTACTGTGAGACCTTCTTCACCAGCAGGGAAAATGCTGGAGGACACCTGAACAAGCACTGCGGTGTGGACGATATCAAGTGTGACATCTGTACAGAAGCCATTAAGTTGTGGAATGAAGGAAGGAACATGGAGCTGGAGAAGCTGCATGAGAAATATGACGGCCTTAAAGACGAGGGGCAGGATGGAGATGAGGGTAGGAAGGAGGAGACTGCAGGCGGCGAGGGGGAGACTGCAGGCGGCGAGGGAGCTACTGGAGATGATGCTAGGAAAGATGACGAAGGATCTTCTGTAAACAATGACGGGAAAGAAAAGCCAGATGCTGACGACCTCATCAGGCAGTCTCTGGAACGAGCCAAGACACTCTCAAGCAAGCATTTCATCATTGCCAAATGCTTTGAATGTAATGAGGAATTCTTTCTACGGCATCATCTGGTCAACCATTACAGAGTGCATGAGAAGTTCACCTGCAAGGAATGTGGAAAGGAATTCAAGACGATGACAGACTACCAGGAGCACCTGGATGAAGTGCACAAGATCGGTTTATGCTCCTGTCCTTACTGCCCAAAGAAGTTCCCTTCTCTAGGAAAACTAAATTTTCATATGCTGGGTCACCTTGGGTTGTTTCAGTGCATTTTGTGTGGGGCAACCTTGATGTCCAAGCAGTCCCTAGAGATGCATATCAGAGGGGCGGTCAGCGATCCATACCATAAGTTCCGGGTCGGTGGCGAACGCCTCACATACTCCTCATCCAATCCATTCCTTGGTGCAAGTCAGAATGAAAATCATCGTGGTGGCTTTCGTCGCCGGAACAAGACAAAAGAGATTTCTTGTAAGTTTTGTGATCGCAAATTTGGCTACATCCATGGTCTACGTAAGCATATGCGATTCCTACACCCCAAGGAGGAGGTGCCTATGAAAGGAGACGGCTTTTGCTGCGAGCGATGCGGCATTGTCCTGGCATCGAAACAGTCCTTCAAGGCTCACCTGCAGACGCATCAAGAGAAAACTATTTCTTGCCCTGAGTCAGGCTGTGAGGCCATGTTCACCACAAAAATGAACCTAAAGTCCCATTTGAGAACCCATGGTCAAGCATCCTGGTCAAAAAGATTCAAATGCGACATTTGTGGAGGGTCATACAAAACACAGGTGTACCTTGATATGCATATGAAATGCCATAGTGGGCATGTGCCATATGCCTGTTCGTATTGTGGGAAGACCTTCCGCAACGTCACCCACATGGTTTACCACGAGAGGCGCATGCACACCGGCCAGCTGGATCATACATGTGAACTCTGTGGTAAAGGCTTTGCAGACCCGTCAACGCTGAAGGTCCACAGCAAAACCCATTCGACCCACAGGCCCTTTTTATGTGACATCTGCTCCAAGGGCTTCCCCACCGAACTGTACCTCCGAGCTCACAGACGAGTCCATACCAAGCCCTTCAAGTGTTCCCAGTGCAGCGAAGGTTTCTCACAGCAAGGCGCAAGAAGGAACCATCTCCGAAAGGTCCACGGTATCGAGACGCCAGTCGTAAAAAGCAAATCCAGAATTTCTGCTCAAAGCGAGACCAATCCACCAGGTGAGTTCAGTCCTCAGATGTCAGAAGCTTCCGTACAGGATATAGAGGAAACAGAAATGATGGTCATTAGCGATAATAATGAAGTCGGTTCATCAGAGATCATTGACAAAATTCTAGCAGCCATTCTCTGAAGTAAACTCAAACTGCAAAGACAAATACAGACTCGAGGAATGTTCATTTCTTTAAAACTTTTCTGTACAAAGTATTGTACAACCAAAAAAATTTTGCAAACTTTAACCCTATTTAGCCCGGGGGGGGCTTGAGAAGCCCCCCCCCTCGACATTTTTCGCGATAATTTTTTAACGCAAGAAAATCTTGCACTGAAATTTTGTGACTTTTTTCTTTCGAGTCTTGCGCAACTTTTGAAAGAAATTTTTCGAAAATCGGACCTACCATTACAAAGTCACGTGTCCTTTTGTCTTCGCATGTCAGCCCGAAAATCGCTCATTTTTGTGATTTGTGTACAAAACATATGGAAATCTCATTTTTCAAATAAAGAGGTAAAACATTGGTTATTTGGTCTTGTTTAGATTTTAGGTGTTTATTTTGGGGTCAAAATAGTTGAATTATAGTTGGAAATGAAATAAAACAACAAAAACAATAAAATACATAAGTTAAAAAAACAAAGAAATACATAAGAAATTATCAAAACAATAGATATCTTAAGGAATAACCCTGGTTTTTCAAATTTTTGTGTTGTATTATTATTCCAAATGGTCTAACAAATATATGTAGTGAGAAAGAATGCTTAAATATGAATAATGTCTGATTTATGGGCAAAAATGTTAATTTAATGACCTTATTTGCATAAATTACCATAAATATGCAAATGAGTGAATTTTTCAAAAAAATTGAAATTACCATAGTATTCTATACACTTCACTTGACATGTATGCAAATTTTCGCGGCGATCGGGCGTTTCACGGCCGAGATCACAGGGGGGGGCCTGAGAAGCCCCCCCCTGGGCTATGCAGTTTCAAAATAGCCCGGGCTAAATAGGGTTAAGTGCTTAAGATTTTTCATTCCGTGAAATAATCACTTCACAAGAGACAACATACAGTGTTTTCTCGAATAATTGAGTAACCTTCTCCCAGAAAACAGTCTGTCAAAGAAAAGCTATCAAAGTGTTAAAGCGAAGGAAATGCAAAAATTAATCTGATTGTTGGCTAGCAGGCCCGTAGCTTAATTTCTGACAGCTGTAGTAGCTATTAGGTTGACAAAAAATTTGTAGTTAATAGCATTGATGGCATAGTGAACAACTGAACATGTGTTGAAGGGTCTCACTGTTATAGAATATTGTCTTGAGTTATCTAACTTTTTGTTCATCTGCCCAACCAAGGTGATGTTTGAGACATGATTTTCTGGGATTGCCCCTGGGTAATAGGTCCCTCATTTTCGTTATCTGATACCTTGATAGGGCCGAGTTATTTTGGTGCTTTTTGTCAAGCTGCACCTGAATGGTGGGGGACCTAGGACCCGTTTCACAAAGCCTTTTTTCAATGACAAATGACAAAAATCAGTGACAAATCTGCTGATAACCAATCAGAAGCAAGGATTTCAGTAGCTTATAACAGAAACTGTCATTTGTCACTGATGACAAGCTCTGTGAAACGCTCCCAGGGCCCTGTTTCATAAAACTTGTTATCAATAACAAGTTACAAGCTACTGTTATAAGCTACTGAAATCCTGTCATCTTATTGGCTGAAAGCAAATTTGTTATAGAAATGTTGCACTTGTTATTGATAAAGAAGGTTTATGAAACAGGGTCCTGCTGTTGCAGAGGTACCTCAGGAATATGAACCATTCTCATTGGTATGTAAAGTGAGAATGGTGCACTTTCCCTCTGTTAGAGTCAGAGACTAACAATGGGGGACCTGCAGGAGTCTCAATGCTGGCTAATGAATTATTCTGAATGTCCATATTCTTTGGAAATGTAATGTGAAGGGTGCACCAACCCTGATAAACATACAAATGGAAGTTTTGAAAATTGAAAAAAATTGGACCAGTAATAGTAATGGTATTATATCTAGATGGGAGGCGTTGGTTTGGTTATTAGTACCCGGGCTTACATGCAAGTCTCAACAATTATAGCTCTCAGTTTTCGCAAGGAATAATCCTGCCATATGTAGGTACCCACTTACTACCCATGGGTGCAGTGTGGCAAATGTAGATCAATGGCTCACCAAAAGATGTTGGTGTCATGTCAAGCAGCCGTGGAATCAAATTCCATACCAAGTGTTGATATCAACATTGTGGTAAAAAAAAGGAGTAAATTAGAAGAAAGGTAACAGAGAAAGACATTGAAAAATTAGTTTAAAAATTATGGGAACTAATGCATGTACAATGTCACGAAAAGTGACAAACACAAATAAATATTATCAGATTTATTTGATACTGTTCTCACTTCTCAAGGAATTCTCTTTGAAAATCCACTTGAACTTTCCCATTTTCCATGCTAAACTTTTAATCCCTCCTAGCCAAACTAGTACAGACAGCCTTTAAGGTCCGTATTGTACTAATTCAGTTAAAGCCTATCTGCACTAGTCTGGCCAGCAGAGCTGCCAACTAGTACGGATTTTCCGTAATTGGTACGGAAATTAACGACCATTACGGAATGTTGTCTCAAATTACGGATTTAAAAAAAAAAAAAAAAAAAAAGATTTTTTTTTTTTTTTTTTTTTTTTTTTTTAATGAATTAAATATGATTTATCGTAGCGAGTGCTGTGAATAGGAGCCATTTTTCATGATAAACTGTGTTGTGATGACCTGAAATTCAATACTTAACATCTTTGTGTGAGTAAAATCACCAAAAATTTCAGATAATCATGCGTCCGCGCAGTGTTGGCGTGTCGTTTTTTTAGATTCATAGCGCCGCATAAGAAATTACTGATTTATACCCCAAATTACTGATTTTGAGCCTTGTGATTACTGATTTTCTGTTCTGGAGGTTGGCAGCTCTGGCCAGGAGGGATTAGACCTCGCTGCGGGTCACTGGCAGGTGGTTATCTCATCAAATCAGCTCTCAATTAACATTTAAAAAAGGGGATCATTGGGGACCAACAGGTACCGCCTAGGCATTGTTGGCAATATAGAGGGCCTAAGTAGATACAAGTAGTGCAGTCTTGCTTTAAATGTGACACTGGGTCTAAAATAAGGAAAAATTAGTTGATCTCAGTCTGATTCCCTTGGTAAGCCCAATTTGGAACAAAAGCCTCAGTCCAGCAACATGTTTTAAAGGTCACTTAATTGCTCCCTCTATATAGAAAACAATGCCTAATCGGTGACCATTGGTTCTCCATGATCCTCTTTTTCTTATGTTACCAGTAATTGAGAGCTGAGTTGATGAGATAGCCACATGTCAGTGACCTTCCTGGGTGGTTTTATCCCTCCTAGTCAAACTAGTATAGACGGCCTTTAAATTTAGTAGAATATGGGCCCAAGTATTCAAAACTTGCAAGGATTTTTTGTTTTTTCTTCTTTCTCATTCTTAATTATATATTCTTAGCCAGATAAAGGAACAAGTTTAACAGCTTGAACTGTCAAAATGTTGAATACATCGTACATGTATTACAATTATGTACTGGTGCCATTTTTTAGTGTAACAAACTTCACTTTGGCAAAGTTACATGTATCTGCTGTCATATAGCTACCTTGTGATATTTCCTTGATTTAACAATTATTATTCATTTGAATGGGTTTCATAATACATAGAGTATTATGATTCACAATTTTGTATTTCTGACTTTGTAATTCGAATGATTTGAGCTAACTTCCTTTCTCTCGTATTGCACTCTTCTGCTTTAATTGTCCTATTCCTCATTGGTTACAGCATGAGCTGATTTCATGATGTAAAACCATGACTTGTAAACGAATGTGTTTATTTTGTTTACCACTGCCTTAAAACTCTTGTTAATGGTAAAAAGAGTTACTGTCATGTCAGTTGTGATTCAATCACATAACGGCATGCAACTTTCGCTTGCAAACTTCAGGTTTTGCACACACAAAATATTTGGTTCAACAGTAGTTTATGTACTTCTAAACTTGTAAAAGGCCTTGTAAATTTATGGTTGTTGATTTTTATTTGTTTTTGTAATTGTTATTTGGGGTTTCAAAGAGATTGACCTTTAATTGTTGACTTATAAATTCGGTGTTTATATTGATTATAATGGTTTGTTGCACATGTATTTCTTTAAATAAATCAATTTTGTTTGAAGCAAATAATTACCGGTAGTCAAAAGAGTTCTTATCAACCTTTAGACATCAAGTCATTCATACTCATTTTATCTGTATCTATCCTCCCTCCTCGGCCTCTGTCTTTCTTTGTTTCTCTCTTTCTTTGTCTCTCTCTCTCTCTCGATCTCTCTCTCTCCTTCTTCTCTGACATGCACCCACATATACATGTACACACATAATCCCTCTCGCCCCCCCCCCCCCCTCTCTCTCTCTCTCTCTCTCTGTCTATATTTTGATGAATATGGTATATCACACTTTTGTTGTCTTCATTAATTATCAGTGAAAAGGGTCATTTATGAGGAAACAAAAAGTTTCTTATAAAAATGGGCAAAGGGAACTTAAATCAGAAGGAAAGGGGTGCCTGAGTCAAATTATAAAAAGGGCAATTATCAGAGGTGGAAAGGGTTCTTTTCACACTTGAAGATGGGCACTTCTGAGAATGAAAAAGATTGAGGCAGGTCACATTTTGTTTATCAGAAAGGGGACCCGGAGCTTTATTATTAAAATGAATCTGAGGCACTTATCACAAGGAATTAAGGGGACACACAAAGAAGTATAAAGGGCTCTCATAATTATCAGAAGGAGGAGGGATGCACTTCTGACAAAGGAAAACGGCACCGAGTCCCAGGTTTGAATATATAGGCGCAATTATCAGAGATAAGGGCCGGGGGACTTATCAAAGGTGGTTAATTAGCCAAGGGGAACTTACAATGTATATGCATGGTGTGGAACAGGTGCCTATAATATTAACAAGAAAAATGGCTACTTATTATCTGAAGTATAATTAAGAGGGGCATTTGGGGAGCGCGCGCCGCGCCTCTGCTGTTTTTTATGTTTCCTTTATACCCCAAAAGTCTTGTATATATACGTCACTCGCCAGTGGAGGACGAATTTCTGTATTTTTTTAAATCGGACAATAAATTATCTTGAATCTTGGAAGTCGGTTTTGGTTTCAAAAGAAAAGGGGGCATGGGCGGCTGGTTGTTACCCTTGCCAGCATATACGGTACTGCATGATTAAAAAGACTTCCTACTCACAGCTATTGTCGTAATCCTGCTTGTTAGTGGATCGCGCGCCAACAGTTTTTGTACATGTGCGTACGTTCCATGTACCAACTTGATTGTACTTTGTACACCTATAAACTTACTTGGATTTCGATGCCTATAACTCGTACATAGTATAGTACATACTTACTGCGCGCGCGTTAATGGGAACGGCGTGAACTGAAGCCAGTACATAGACGTAGGTCTACTACTGTATCAAATTCGTCGATTTTCTACGTTTGATTAGGTAATTTTATTGATTTATCGTAGTGAATAGTAGTAATGATAATATAGTTTGGTTATTTCGTTGTCTGAAATCTATCTATAGTCGGCAATCGCCAGGAAAAGTAGAATCTTATCCGCGTGAACGTGAGTGTACGTGTGGTCGTTATGAATTGTCTAGGCCTACGTAGACTACATGCACTGTACTATGTAGGCCAGCGCCTACATGTACATGTATGTGCTGTGGTGTGAATCTTGTGTTTGTGCTTGTCGTCCGAAGTTGGAGATAATGAAATATTTTTTAAATAAATTTTTGTTTTATATTTTTTCCTTGCCCAATCATCATCATCATCTTGATCATGACTAATGAGTAGACTATGACTTGTGATGGCGTTCCGAAATGAAAATAATTTATTGTGGGACTGTAAAAAGTTGACTGTTCGTCTATAAATTTGCAAATACGGTTTTGTGAAGCCAAGCATCATGGGCATTACTTAGGAGACAAATGCAAATTGAACGACAGTGTACGATGTTGTTGAGGAGGCGAGTTGGCGCTCGGTTGGTAAAACGTCTACCTGTAGGGCCTACTACTACTAGGCCCAAAGAGCTCGGGTTTGAATCCCACCCTGGCAGATGACTGAAGCCTGCGTTGTGTATCAACATGCCCCTCCCCTTGTTTTACAGATGCAGGCTATGTTAAGTGGAAAACACTCTGTCCCTTGGATAGGACCCTTAATGGAGACCCGTGTTCAGGAGAGTCACCACCCTTGCACGTTAAGAACCCACTGCACTATTCCTAAGTATTAGACAGAAATAACTGTCTGATATGGGTCATTTCTTTAATAAAACTGACATTTGTTGACATTCCCCATGGTAATCGTGACCACTCGTACCAGGGGAAAGATTGGCCCATTTCTGTACCTCTTTGTGACGGAAACTTTCTCCCCCGATTTTCAATATTTAGATCTAATTTTCTGATTTATAAATCAGATAGAAAAAAAGGTTTCTATATTCTTCTCCTAATTACAGTTATCAAATTTTGATAACCTATTATAAAATGTGAAATTTACGGACTTACTTACATGTATATGAGTTATCCATTTTTTATCTCAGATCCGTGAAACAGCTGTACGTTCATGCATTCAAACTAGTAATCTATGACATGACCCGGCCGATGAGTTTCCGGGTCAACCTACCAAAGATCTTTGTACTTGAACCCTACGAGTATGAGTATGATGGTTTTGTGAAACATGCAGAAAAAAATATATTTATGTGACTTAAGACAATTTATATTTATAACCAGTGTTATCATCTCTTTTTGTCTGTCAGGTGGGAAGTTGGAATTCTAAATAAAGGACCACGGTAGACTCGGCAAGATGTCTGACGTACCATCGGACAGTGAGGATCAGTCTGAAGAGCTGACCGAAGAGCTGACCAACTGGCAAGCCAAAGAGCGGTTTGTGAAGGAGAAAGTCACCAACATGCACCGCTTTACAAACGATGTAGACATTCGCAGGATGCCAAAAGAGACGTTTGTTACAGCAATGGCCGACCGCGCCACTCTGGCCCTCTATGCCGACCAGATAAAGAGCACAAACAGGGTGAAGCGAATGTTTGGGGAGACCTCGGTCGTTTCAATCCACAGTGGAGATAAATTTGTGCGGGTGGTAAGTTCTTTCATGTCAGCTATTTAAAGGTAACTTTATAGTGAAGGAAGTCCTACGTAAAGCACTGTCTGGAATGCAAAATGCAGAATCATTGAAAACCATTTTTTGCACGTAGGTAGAACCAAATCGTTAAGATTTGCAGCTAGGAGATAATAGCCATTCAGACCCTCATTAGGCTGAATATTCCCAAAAGTGTCATTCAGGTTACCTCTGTAAATTCACCAATATCACCAAGAATTGTGAATTTTGTGTTCCAAACACATAAAAAAACAAATGTTTATGTGATACTACAATTTGCTAAGATACTGGTACCTGGAATACATAATAAGATAGCAAAAAACATGTTGAGGCTATTCTATGCTTTATTTTGGGGGTGCAAAGAATGAATTTATCAACAATATTGTAAAGTTTGTAGGTTCTAAAGGCATCATTTCTTTGGATTATTAGCAAAGTGCAGTACCTTTTGCTACATTAAAGATGAAATAATAATTTGTTTTGATATTTTTATCAAGATACTCCCATGTATATGTAACTGGGAGGAAAGTGGTTACAGTCTGATGTTCATACAGTGAAGAGAAGTTAGGGTTGTGGTGAAAATAAATATGATTTGTAAGCTTTCTCATCCTGTTTAAGCTCATGTTGATGAAAATTCATAGCAGCAAGTATCCCATGAAAAGGATTGTCTTTGAAATCACTAATCTAGCTAGAGCTCAAACAACTCACAACTTTAAACTGCAAGCAAATTTTGGTGCCACTTGTTTGTGTAATCCTAAATACCTTTGGTGAGCTGATGAGCACCCTTTGTGGTGTTGGCGTTTCTCCCAGACTACAGACTTAAGACTCGTTCAGATATTTACATAATTATAAACTGGCACAAAAATATGCGTGGGTTTATGCGATTATGCAACAAACTGAACAAAGGTCCTGCGGGCCACTGAGGTCTGTGAATGAGATACAGAAATGTGACGCCAATGACAATTTACGTCATTAAAGAGAAGGTTGAGTTCTGGGAAGAGGTGAAAAAAACTGAGCGTTGTCATCCTTATTATGCAAGTGTGGAAGAACATCAGATAAGACATGTTCCCTGAAAAGCATGGCTCTTCAAATGCCTTCATATTCTAAATATGTCATGTAACATCGTAAAACTTGGGGGGGGGGGTAGGATTTTTACGCCACGTGTTCATGTAGTCCCATATACGTCTTTCTGTGTACAGTGTTTGTAACTTTACCAAGACTTGGCCAAATTTCTTATCATTTTGATGATTCCAGAACCTTGCAATACACATAAATTCTTATATGCTAGATGGTGTGGAATCGACCAGAAAAGGTTGATACCTTTTCTGGTCGATTCCACACCGTTTCTTTCACAATGCAATCGCATGACCAGTGGTTTTGCTGCCTCATACATATCTGAACAAGCCCTAATATTTGAAAGTTTCATTAGGTTGCTTCAGTGCTTGCTTAGTTGTAAATATGCTAATTAATTAAAAAAAATTAATAAAAAACAATTTATTCTTCTTTAATTACAGGTACTAACAGAGAATCTTCCCTTCTTGTGCACTATGTGTGGAGAAACCTTTGTACACACTCAACCACTGCAAGATCACGTTGAAGAGAAACATGGCTACTTCCAGAATAACATAGATCAGCGGGCACAAAGGAAAAAGCCAGTAAGTAGACAGAAGTAAATTTTGTGTTAAAGCCCTGTCTGCATTTGTTTGGCCAGGGGGGATTAGACCTCCCTGCAAGGTCACTGACAGGTGGTTATCTCATCAAATCAGCTCTCAATGAACATAAGAAAATGGGGATTATGGGGACCAACAGGCACCGATTAGGCATTGTTTGCAATATAGAGGGCGCAAGTAGCTATACAGTGTAAGTAGTGCAGTGGGGCTTTAAAGTGGGTGGGTCATTGGGTTTCCATGAGCAGAAGGTCATAATTCGCAGACACCAGACTTGGTAGAAATACCATTAATGGGTCTACATTTCTACACACAGCTAACCGGTAGGTCAATCAAGAAATACCCCCTTGTCTCTCGGAGAGTCTTTGGGTGATGCAAATGTAAGATTAGTACTTTACCATGTGGGGAAAAGACAGCATTCCATGAAGCTTGTTGGTCTAAAAATTGAAGGCTAATCCCAGTGATAGACAACACCTGTTATCGGGTAAACACCGGAACGGTGTCAAATTCCCCAAGAGAGCCCACTTATTTGTGTCTTTAAAGCTACACTATCTTCTTGTAGCTACTTGCTCCCTCTATATAGAAAATAATGCCTAATCAGTTACCATTGGTCTCCCATGATCCTTTTTTTCTTATGTTAATTGAGAGCGGAGTTGATAAGATAACCACCTGTCCAGTGACCTTGCAGGGTGGTCTAATCCCTCCTTTAAACTAGTACAGATGGGCTTTAAAGTATTTCTCACTATTTTTCAAGTGGCATCATGGTCTAATGGATATGTCAGCAGACTAGACCTCACATGTTATCAGCATGGTCAATGAGGGGTTAAACTTGTTTGAATCTTGAAAATCAGCAACGGTTTTATAATATTCATTCTCAACCGAAATTATTTGTAAGTAGTCAAGTGGATAAAGCACTTGACTTCAAATTCAAATTGTGGGTTTTATCCCCGATACAGCACTAATTTCCTTTGGTAAGACGTTTATCTATATATGCTATACCCAGGAGAGAAATGGGGACCCGGTAGGATGCCGAAAGCATTTGTGTACTGTTAGTAATTGCCATATGCCCTCGAAGTGACCATATGGTAGGAATACTCCCTAGGGAATGGAGATGGTGCACATTGTGTGAATGAAATTGATGACCCGGGTAATAATATCTGTAAAGCGCTTAGAGACAGTATTTTGGATTAAGCGCTATATAAATCCAGATTATTATTAGATTATTGTTTATTCCTCCTCTCAGATCATCATCGCGAAAAACTTTGGACGGAAAGAGAAGAGTGTCATACAAGAACAAGACGCTGCAGTGGATCAAGATGATGAATCTGACAATGTAAGTAGAAGGCTGTTCGACACATGCTCCACCAACAGTTGTTCCCCTATAGATACCAAAACCTGCACGTATCCATACCTGCCAACCACCCCGATTTAGGCGGAGTTCCTCCGCATTTTTCATACCAACTCCGAATTCCGAGTGCATGCCTCAAAACTCAGATTTTTTTTTAATTTCAAAATATTTTTAAAACAAATGACTGTTGCATAAGACTAAAGCATAACACAGCACTGATAACCAGATCACGCCGACATCCGCGCTCGCGCTCATAGAAGATATACACAGCGCAGCCCGAACGTGATCGTTAGTTCCGCAATCATTATCCATGTACTGTACTGCAGTCATTATCCATGTACTGCATGTACTACAGACATGCCAACCGTTCCGATTTTAACGGAACTGTTCCGTTTTTGAAGTTTTTATAGCCCTAAAAAACGGAACGTTCCGATTTTGGGGAATTTGGCTTTCCATACATAGCATTGATCCGATCGAGTGCTGAACAGATTGCATTGCGCAAGGTGCGTACAGCGTGCACTGATATGTACGTACAGTGGCAGCGTTTCCGTACGTAACATTTCCGTACGTAAATACTTGCGCTGGCAAATCTTGTAAGTATAATTTCTATACGTTTGCACGCATATCAGCGCAGCATGCGTGCATTGGCTATCGCGCGCTGCTAGCGCACCGTATATGCCCATGCAAAGTACGTGTTTCGAGGTACCGTATACTTTGTGATTTGTGATTTGTCTCGGAAGAAAATCTGTCAAAATGAGCGGAACAGCAGCAAGATGAATTCAGAAGTACAAACAGGAATACAAGGAACGATGGCAAAAAGCTAGCCCACCACCTTCCCACCTCGAACCTTTCGAGTTCCGCTAAAATTGTGCGCTGCGGAGCTCCGAGGGTGCATTGGTATCGCTGGCAAACTCTCGGGCGGCTAGCTCCCCACGACGGACCATTCGCGGTATGGCGAGAGTGTGTGTGTGAGATACGATTTTGGATTCAAGAACGCACGTACCACAACCGTGCGCGTCATTTTCAGCTGTCGAATGTCTACGACCAATTTTACATGTACGATTTTTAGTACAGATACTTGGTCAGTTTTCTTCTTATATCTTTGGTTTTACAACATTTAAAAATATAATTTCTTCAAATTTGCTCCTGACTCGGTTCAGACTAATTGTCTGATGTGTTTTCAAGTCAATTTCTTGAATATATTTTTTTGCATGAATTTGCCTAGACCTAGTATGACACAAAAATTACCCATAAACTTGGGTTGAATTTTAGGGGAAATGGTCCTTAAAATAGGCTCAGATTGCACCAGAGAGCATCTGGAAACCCAGAGCTTCCAGGGCCCTAAAGCGGGCCCTGGACCCCGGCTAAAAGGACTTCGCGCTCGTGATGTTCTGATTTTCAAATGTTGGCATGTATGGTACTAGTACATGGAAGCACGTGCGCAAGCTATATCGATAAAGTGTGTGCAGACGTTGTACTAATACATACACTACATGCAGCGTTGTTGCATAGTAACTGCATGCGTATAGCCCACGTGTATTTATATTACATGTGCAGTTGATACACCCTGCATAAACACTGTATACATTGGCGTGTTTTCTTCAATGCTTGTGCGATGACTGCATTCGTGGAAGCTTGTTATTTACCAGACTTCCTCGATTTATTTTGGATTACTACTACTATATTCTTCTTCTTCGTTGATTTCTCCATTTTTGAAGGACAAAATGGGTAAGACTCGTGCTGTTCATAATCAGAAGTATAAGAAAGAATACGGGAAACAATTTCCAGTTGCAGAATCAGCACTCGGACTTCAACACGCATTTTTTTTCAAAAATTGTTTATGTGTGGGGCGAAAAGGTTGAAGGAAAAGCCCATTTGCACCATTAAAATGGAGAGGAAAAAAAATAGACCCTAAAGTCCTGTGTATCCCCCCCCCCCCCCCCCCCCCCCCCCATCTACGGGCTACTACCCCAATCCTTCGGTGGTTCGCGACCTCGTAGTCCATCCAAAAAAATTTACTCCTAATTTCTCTTGTCTCAGGTTGGCAGGTATGCGTATCGAATCCATAACTTCACCCCTGGACCTAATGCAGTACTTACCCCTGTCCTAACCACTAACCCAATTTCAACCCTACTAAACAAAATCTTACATTTTAGAGGGAGATTGGAACAATTGTAAACATCACAGTTTATTGTACAGTTAACTCTGCACAAGTCAATCTCTTGGGGCTGCCTAAAAGAAATACTTTGACTCATGCAAAATTTAACTTAGGAAATGTATATAACGCATATTTTACATTGTTTGGTCCAAATAATAGATCTGACGTAGGGGCACTTTGACTTGTGCAACTTTCAAGTTATGCAGAGTTAAGTTTTCGGATCAGTGTCAGTTAGTTTTTTCATCTAGCTTGACTAGTCCCATTTCGTTAATGCCAATTTCCTTATCCAACTGATTTGTTATTTACTGACAAGAGTGTTTATATAGAATGATTATGACAAAGATAACGATTTTGATAAATTCTTTATACAAAATAATTTCTAAGCTCTGTACAAAACAAGGCTCATGTTCAAATATTATGTAATAGTTGTAATATGGACACTGTATATGAGCATATTAAGATAATACAAAACAAGGGGGAAAAGGTGTGACAATAATGAGGGTCAGAAATATTTAGAGCGTACAGTTTAGTGATTCTTTTTCTTTCTGTTTTCTGCAGGAAACCATGGATAACGGTGCGCCAGAAGTACCTTCAGATGCAGCACTGGATGGAGATGGTGCACAGAAGGAATTTCTGAGACCCGTGACATCCAGTGGGATTACTAACACTTCTGACCCAGAGGACCGCGTTGAACTCATCCTCTCGCAAATGTCAAGTCAAGAAGAGACGCTGGTGCAGGACACGGCGAGAGAAGAGGATTTGGACCAATCCAACACCAAAGAGGCTACAGTTTCCACAAAGACCACTACCCGCAATGTCCAGGTGGTCGGTAAGAAGCAGAAGAAGAAGAAAAAGAAAAAGCGGAAAGAGAAGTACACTTTGCACAATGCAGAGCATATTATCAAGGAGAACGAAGAGCGCGAGCGCAAGAAACAGAAGTTGGATGAGAATGGTGAACCACGGGAAGTGAAGAAACTGCGGCCGTTTTGTGTTGTTTGCCATCTGCACTGCATTAACAGAGTCACCTGTCGGGAGCATCTTGCTGAAGCACACAATATCTTTCCCAGCAGGGAGGCCGCAGAGAAAGCCAGGGAGCTGATGAAAGAACAAGAGAAGGATGCTGTGGTGAATGGTGAAGTTCCCAATGAACAGGGAAGCCAGGGTTCGGATGAGCAGCAAGATCAGTCGGAGCGTTCCCTCGAGAATGCAGAGAGTGATATTATCAAATGCGAATTCTGCGAGTCGTATGTCTTCGATGAAATCACCCTTGAAATGCACATGCGAGCTCACTGTGGTAACCCAGGAATCAAATGTGATATATGCCGGGAGGGGATTCTGCTGTGGGAAAATATGAGGATGGAGGAATTGAAAGATCTTGGTGAGCGAATCCTTTCAAGGAACAGAAGACCTCAGGATGTGGACTGTGATCCCGGCAAGTCCACCCCTAGAAAATACCCCAATTCCAGAGTCGTCTCGACGTGCTACGAATGCAACGAGCAGTTCTACCACAGTAGCCACATGGGGAATCACTATGCCAAAGCACATGCGAGCATCACATGCAAAGAATGCGGGACCACCCTGCCAAACATGCAGGCCCTGGCGACGCACAGTCTGGAGAAACACAGACCGGGCGTCTTCCGTTGTCCGTGGTGCCCGAGGCGGTTCCACGACCGGGGGAAGTACAACTACCACCTTGCAGGTCACATGGGGCAGTACAGGTGCCCCGGGTGTGGGAGAAACTTTGTGGAGAAGCCATCCTTGAATTATCACATGAAGAAATACGCAAAATTTCCATTGCACTTTCAGGGGTGCCAAACGACTGTACAAGAGATTTCATTTGAAAAGCCATTTTTATCCAGTGGCGCCACGGACCATCAGAATAGGGCTCTCACGGTTATGGTGTGCGACCTCTGCAATGCCACATTCATCAATAAAGGCACTTACACGAGGCATATGAACAAAGTCCATCCAGGCCATCAAGGACGATCAATGGACAACTCCTTTGTCTGTGATATCTGTGGCAATGTATTTTGGTCCAGGATGAACTTGACTATGCACAAGAAAATCCACGACAAGAAATTCCCTTGCACGTATCCAGGTTGCACCAAGAGGTTCTGGGCTCGGAGTATGATGAGAAAGCATGTGGAGACACACGAGGGTGCCCCGACGTATTTCTGCGAGGATTGCGGAAAGACCTACAAACATTCTGGGTCGCTCCGGCTCCACAAGAGAACGCACACAAACAAGAGGAGCAAATGCGACATCTGCTTCATAGAGTTTAAGGGTCGCTCCAACCTGGCAGTCCACATGCAGGAGGCTCACGACCAGGAACTCCATTTCACGTGCGGTGTTTGCGAGAAGCAGTTCAATTCGCGGCGACGCCTACTGGCCCACGCCAAGGTCCACAGTGAGCACCTCAAGGACTTCGTCTGCGAGAAGTGCACGTGTTCGTTCCCTGAAGAGCGGCTCTTGCTGCAGCACATGCGCGTCCACAACAAGACCTACAAGTGCAACTATTGCCACGAGGTCTTGGGCACTACCGACGCCTTGAAAAGCCACCACCTCAAAGAGCATGCATTGCCTGTACAAACGGTTCCAGCCACTGTCCAGGATTTCATTCCTGAAAGTATTCAGATCGAGGTTATGGATTCCGAAGGCGTTGTCATTGTGGAATATCCGGGTGCCGATCAAGAAGCAACAGATAGAGCGATTGCAGCCATTGTGTCCGAGTTACAAGGCTAGCAAGGACCCAGATTTATTAAAGTTTACCCTTTAAAGCCACACTGTCCTACTTGTAGCTACTTGCTCCCTCTATATAAAAGCAATGCCTAATCAGTGACCATTGGTCCCCCATGATCCTCTTTTTCTTATGTTAATTGAGAGCTGAGTTGATGAGATAACCACCTGTCCAGTGACCTAGTTGCAGGGCTGTCTAATCCCTCCCATAAACTAGTACAGATAAGCTTTAAGTCCACATGATGACATCTACCACAAGCATATTGTCTGCTGGTGGTTCATTTCATTCAACCAAAATCCTGAGGTGCACTTTACATCATTATAAAAAAGCCACATTTTTGCTGCATCATATTTGAACGAGCCTTTACTGGACTGCTGGAGGAGGGTCTCTCAACATTCATGGCAATCAGTGGCTTGTTAAATGTCGGATAGGTAAAAGGTGAATGCTTTTTGGCTAGTTAGTTCCTAATAATGTAAAAAAGCCACCAGGAAAAGACATGTCAGACATTTCACTTGGGCGCTTTCAAACGAGATGCATTGTTAACTAAAACAAGTCGGTAGTGTTCATTGTACTTTATCTAAAATCACTATTATTGTTTTTCCTTAGTTCCCATTTTCAATGAACATTCCAAATGCAGATGACGAGCTATTTTGCTTTACATTTGCAAGATTTATTTGCCTTTTCTAAGCCTTCCAAGATATTGACAAGTTTTTACAGTTATTTTATAGTTAATAGATAGAACTTTAAGGAAACTTCACCCCAAAGAATAAGTGTAGGTATTCTGAAAAATGTGATGTACATTATTCCTGCCCTATGTACAAGAGATATAAATGAAGATATTTTTGACATGATGTGATGCCTTTTAGCATGACATGGTCATTTTCTTGAAAATGTGACGTACCAATTAAAGTTGTACACGTATCATGCACCAAGCTTTAGTTGGAAAGACTTTTTAAATCAATAATAAAACCTTTATTATTCATTGAGGAGAAATCATAGCTGAGAAGATATAGATTATATTTAGTGAAAATATATAACAGGAAGACAATTGTAACTGATTCATTTAAAAATACTTAAATATAGCAGTTGACAAGTCTAATTCATTTATCAGAAACCTTCACCTCAGAAGAGCACCAACTTTTTTTTATGCAATTTGCGTCCTGGCAATTGTAGTACAAAGGATAATATTAGGTGAATGAAATGCCTCATCACCACACATACCTGGGAAGGAAGCATCCATAAATTTTAATCCATTTACTTGATAGTATGTATGTCACATTACCAAGAAAAGGGCGATGCCCGTGTCATTTTAAGAAACTGTACATTCTTGCTTTATAAATGCCTCTCTCAGACACTTTGGTGTGGAATCTTGTAGATTAATGGGCCAGAATATAATAAATCTCTCAGAATAAGGAGAGTTATTTTTTGGATTGAGGTTTCCTTTAAAATGTATTTGATAATGTGTACCTGTATTTATAGTAGGGGCGGTCGTGTTTTTGAAAGGTTTAAAAATCGCATAAAATCACAATTATTGTAGATAAAGTCATAGGTATTTGTACTGAGGAAGCTGCACCCCCCCCCCCCCCCCCCCCCTGCAGATTTTTAATGTTTTGATATTCAGACAACCATTACATGCATCTCAAATCCAGGCAGTGAGTTGCCTGAAAATGTAATTTTTACAGTAAATGGATTCTTACAGAATAATTTTTCTATAAAAGCAATGGATGATGTACAGTACTGCATTATGATATTGATCACATTTTAGTGCATTATAGTATTAATTATAATGTAATACATTAGTAATAGAATTAAAAGTAAATGCAATTATGATAAAATACAATTTCGTGCTGACAGATTCTTACAGATTAATTCCTCTATGAAGGCAAAGGATGGTTTACAGTACTGCATTATAATAATAATATTCATTATATTGTAGTACATTATAGTATCAATTTTATTGTATTACATTAATAATAAAATTAAAATGTATAAGTGAACATTAATGTCACGTTTTTCCTTTTCTTACTCAGTCATTGAGTGAAAAGGAAGAAAACTGTAGAAAATTAAAAAAGATGGAACCAGCCAAATTATCTTTTGATGGTAAAATCAATGGTACAGTATTAAAAATATTGGCCTTGAGGACATTGCAGCAAAAGAAATATAGTTCTATTTGGTGACAACAAAGATCAAGAGGAATGAGAGATTAGAGTCTGCTTGCTCTAGAACATTTATCTTTCGGCGCTCTGGAATGAAAGGTTGAGAGGAAAAGGGTTACACAAAAATGGACTATACCCCTGTCATTTTTTAGCTGTAGTCATGATACAATAACATTTCATTTTTATTTTTTCATTTCCAACAAAATACAATACAAAATAACGAATACAATGTAAAATTTATACAACACATAGTTACATTGGTAATTAACAAATCGTAATAATAAGTTATACATTTTAGGAAGACAAAAAATGAATTTTAAAATTTAAATGCATTTATATTTTGAGGAAATGGAGAGGTCCACTGAAAAGCAGAGCTTTTAAATTGTGGACCCCTCAGATAATGAGTGTGAACAAAATATGGAATACATAATCAATATGAAAGGTATAGCTAATGTGTGATGATTCTATTTGAAGAGAACTGAAGGGGGTGTGTTTCACAAAGATCCTAAGTTAAACTTACTTCTAAGTTGGACTTAACAATTATGGAAAGCCGTTAGAATCTTTGAAAATATTTTGTAAAACTTATTTTAGAAGGCATAACATGTTGTTTCAAACCATTAACATTTTCTATTATCAAAGAGATTTCATGTTCTTGATGTGGAATTTATGAAAAGTCTATAATACTTGAATTTTTGCTTTTGAATATATTTTAGTTTAAGGCTCCAAATGGCTCTCAATCATGTTTAAGTCCAACTTAAAGTTAAGTTCGACTTGGGATCTTTGGGAAACACCCCCCTGTACTATATGGTACTCTGTATTACATTGCCAGATTCTTTGTCATTCTAACTCCCGATGTCAGTAAAGGTGTATTCTCTACACTGTTAAATTCAGTTAATAGTACATGCTCCGGTATTTAATACTGATCCATGGTCAAACATTGTATATACTGTAACATTACTGTAAATTTTGTTCTTTTTCAAAAGGACTATGGTATACAATTTTCATAAATGCATTGAATAAATGACAACAAAATAAACACAATGTACATTCATTTTTTACCCGGTACTGCCGTACACATGAGTTGCGTAATGAGTAGGACTAATGAGCATGAACTTTTTGGGGTCGGAACAAAATCTGCATCACCACTAAGTAGCATAATGTAGGGGGGGGGCGGAGCGTGTAGGGGAGCACCATCAAAAAGGGCACTCTAGAGAAAAAAAAGGGACACATTCAAGGGGAAACATTAAAAGAAAAAAAATTAGATACTGGTATATACCCGTACATCATCATAATTGTGATTACACTACCAGGGATGACATCAATATTTGTTTCTTTCTTTACATGGTACAATATACTGCTTAAGCAACTAGGCTTCGCAGTTGGGTGTGATAGTCTGAATATTAATTTTTGAGCGAACGAGCTTTTGTTGTTATGAGGTTCCAGTTTGAAAAATTACATCTTATAAAGAAAACAACTACACAAAAAAACCTGATGAGTATTAAGCACAATCTAATGAAGAAAGAATGAACAGTTCTTTTATGAATAACCTAATTATAACATTTATGGGAGCGAGCTCTAGGGAAAATTGAAGAAAAAGGGGCACTGCGCCGTGAATTATGGGTGCAATGCATGGTATGGAGAAAGGAAAAGTAGGCAGTTATCAGAAGGGAAAAGGTGCACATGTCAAAGTAAACGGCAATTATCAGAGGTGAAATGGCACTTCTTACACCTGAAAAAGGACACTTAACAGAGATGAACAGGCAGAAGCGGATCTAGAGGGGGGGTTGGGGGGGTTGCAACCCCCCCCAAAAAAAAAAAAAAATCCGGGGACCATTTTTTTTAAATCTTATCTTTTTTTTTAAACTTGTAATTTTATTTTATTCTATTTCTATGTATTTATTTCATTTATTATTATTATTATTATTATTATTATTATTATTATTATTATTATTATTATTATTATTATTATTATTATTATTATTATTATTATTATTATTATTATTATTATTATTATTATTATTATTATTATTATTATTATTATTATTATTATTATTATTATTATTATTATTATTATTATTATTATTATTATTATTATTATTATTATTATTATTATTATTATTATTATTATTATTATTATTATTTCTTTTTGGGGGGAGGGGGGGGGGGTTGGGCGAACAAATGTCACAGAGTCCCTTGCCCCCCCCCCCCCCCATCAGCTTTTTTGAGGACACGGGCCACCGCCGAAGTGACAAGCTAGGCCAGCGTTGCCGATTCTCATCCCCAAAATCCCCACATTAAAAAAAAAAAAAAATTGGGGGATTGTTGAAGTCTTTGGGGATGAAAAATAAATATTTGGGAATGAAAATAATATTGAGTTTTATGAAAAACGAATTTGGGGATTTTCTGTCAAAATTTGGCAACTTTGGGGATATTTTAAGTGTCGTTTGGGTGGGGATTTTGTGAAGATTTAACCTGGCAACGCACGCTGAGCTGGGCTGCTCATTTCCTGGATTACTTGTTCAAGTTGCTCACTTTTTTATCAGTCTGGTCTGAGTGTAGTGACAAGCAATATGGAAGCAAACAGGGCAAAGAAGTTGCGGCAATCCAGTCTCGCATCTTTTTTTACTGGAAGGTATTAATGATGATAGGGAATTATACCATATACATATTGATGTCACGGTATAACCCATGGTATAACTGAGATGTACTTGGCTTATACAACCTATGGGATGTGAGGGGGTAAACTCTTATTACACGAAGGTGAGTTGTAACTAAATAATAAGATGTGCATGTATCTTTTATTTTTCTATTTTATCTTCATCTCTTTTTCCATTTTGGTAGATTGGCCCAATGATGAATAACTAATGGTTATTTTAATAATGATGTTTATAAATTCCTGGATTGGATTGGATTGGATTGGATTGTATGTTGATAATGAAAACTGTTGTGTTATGAGGCATGGCCTAACTGTAGATTGTGGATAAAATAATAAGTGGAATATTGAGAGGATAAATTGACTCACGTCTTGCTCGGGTTGAGGTTTATTGGCGCGGACCGATAGGCAATGATATGCGCGCGCATCATGTAGCTCCCTTTACTATGGTTAAATTGTCACATACTACAACTTACCCCTTTTCCTTACAAAAAGAAAATGGAACAGTTAGGGTGACATAACAGGCGCGGATCTACGGGGGGGGTTAGGGGGTTTAAACCCCCCCCCCCTTGGGCGGCCCCCCCCCCCAAAAAAGGAAAAAAAAAAAAAGAAAAAAAAAGAAAGAAAAAAAGAACGCACGCTGGAGAGAAACCCTTTCAAGTGCAAATATTGTGAGAAGATATTCAACTCATCTGGTAACTTAACCAAACACATGATAACTCTGGATATAACTGTGTATTAAACTGTTACTTGATTTAAAAAGACGTTATCATGCACTGCTTTTTATGGTCTCCATTGTGTTAATAGATGCCAGGAAAACATCACTTACGGGGTTCAAATAAACACCCCCAAAAAAATCGGCTCGCCGCTTCGCGGCTCGTGGACGATGCTCTGCATCGTCATTATTTTGGTCAAACCCCCCCCCCCTTTGCAAAAAGCTAGATCCGCCCCTGACAGAGTACTTGTGAGAATGGAGAATATGTTGAAGGAAAAAGGAAACTATCAGAGTTTAATAGGGGCATTTAACAGATATAAAAATTGAAAAAAGGAAAAGGGGCATTTAAGGAAGGGAGTTCTTATTACGAAGAAAAAATTGCACTTATTAAGAAGGAAAAAGGGCACGAGTCAAAGTTTAAAAAAAGGGCAAAAATATCAGAGGTAAAAAGGGGAATTTCTCGCACCTGAAAAGAGGTACTCACCAGTGATGAAAAGAGGGGAAAGTGACAGTTATTAGAAAAGAAAAGGGGCACATTGTGGGTACCTGAAAAGGTGGGTGCACAGTGCCGCCTCTGGCATAATGGGCAAAAGTGAGGACATGAAAACCCGGAAAATCATGCAATTTTAGCAACATTATGTAATTCACTGGTATCGAATTAGAAATAAAACACATTTTAATTGGGGGTCAATTGCTCCCAAGCCCCCCCCCCCCCAACACCCGTACAGTCTGTATAGGTTTAAATTAAATAACTATCGTTGGTTCATCCAGAGATCAGCAAAGTCAAGGGAACTTAGAAATTGAACTTGTGTGGAAAAAAAGGAGTAAAACTAGTGCTGGGAAATAGAAACACACACATGCATTGACAGTTTCTGAAAATAAAGAATAGGAAAAGAAAGTTATCTCTAAATTAATGTTATTGGTCACTAGTGACTGGAATCTTTTTTAAATGCAGAGATAATAAGGGATGTCATTGTCATGTACAGTGGGAATTCTCCCCTTAATCAAATTTGATAAGTATACACAATACACTCTTAAAACAAACAACTAAAATTTGATTAGGATGCCAAATCACTCGGGAACTTACTAAAATCTAATCAAAATGATGCGGAAAATCTAATCATTTTTTTTATGCGGAGATCTAATCAGAATTGCAAATATGAAGCTAATCAAATTGATAAGATTATTCACATCAAATGGCTAAAATGATTAGGGTATAGATAGGAATTTAATTAAATTGATAAGATTATTCTCATTAAATGGCTAGAATGATTAGGGTATAGATAGGAATTTAATTAAATTGATAAGATTATTCTCATTAAATGGCTAGAATGATTAGGGTATAGATAGGAATTTAATTAAATTGATAAGATTATTCTCATTAAATGGCTAGAATGATTAGGGTATAGATAGGAATTTAATTAAATTGATAAGATTATTCTCATTAAATGGCTAGAATGATTAGGGTATAGATAGGAATTTAATTAAATTGATAAGATTATTCTCATTAAATGACTAGAATGATTAGGATCCTAATCTCTTTCTGCATCATATCAAACATGCTTTCAATCATGCACATTGGAGACTAAGAATGCAAATTACACACTTTTTTCCTCCAAGTTAATGGAAACTTATTTATTAATAAGTTTTACAAAAAACGTAAATACGCAAGATAATTTACTCTTTGAAAGAGTGTGAAAATTGACAGTCACTTCAAGTAAATGGCTTCTCATAATATACAGCTGAATTAGAATCTAAAACTTGAAAGTGTGACAATATAAGTACACAAATATAGACATTGATTTTGATTGAAATTTGAAATTGAAATTAATGTTTGTAATTGGCACAAGATGAATTTACAAAAATAAATCGTACCCTTGCTGGTGGCTACAATTTCTAAATACATTGCTCATAAATAATTTATGTCAGTTTCTTCACAGCTATTGAAAAATGCAATTACACAAGGTAATATTATGAATAGTATGAGAACGATTGACAGTCCATTCAAATATACGCATGAGAAAGTTTAAAACAACAATTTGGCAAACAATTATGATCAGACAGTGTAGACAGACATGTTTCAAGTTTAAATTAAACATTGTTTGTTGATAATTAATACTCAGATAATTTACATAATGAAAGAGTGTCATAATGAATGACAGTCTCTTTAACAAAAAATGCAATTTCCTATTTACAGATACACGTAGAATTAAAATCTAAAACCTGAAAGTTTGGTAAAAGCTCACACATGATACTGTAGACAGATATGTGTATAAGTGAAACATTTTTAAGTGATAGCATGCATATACAAAAGTTACAAGTTAAAATTTCAAAGAGTATAACAAAGATTGACAGTCCCTTCAGGTAAAGGCATCAATAGTATTTAAGGATAGTAATGTTATAATTTTTTTTTTGTAAGCACTTCATTGTTTTCTAAATGTTTTTGTTTCATCTTCCTTTTATGATCGTGTTCTACTTTAAATAATTATGTATATTGTAAAATCGTAAAGCGCACTGAAATGTCAACAGACATGAAATGCGCTATAAAAGAACAAATTATTATTATTATTATTATTATTATTATTAGAATTACAATTTAAAACCTGAAAGTTTGACAACAGATTGTGCTTTGGGGTATGAAAGTGAACCAGTATTACAAATTCACAGTAGTCATTAAAGACCCTATCCGATGAAAAGTCGATTTTTTTTTTTGCACGCTCGCAAACAATGCCTCCTGTTCATCCAAGCGTGAACACATATCACACAAAAATGATACCAAATGATTTGGGATAAAACGTTCTTTCATAAGATGTATAATAATTTACTGTTCATAGATGATTTTTAAAATAATTAGCCATATTCTAGGTGTAAATTTTTTTTTACTTACACGGTATAGGCTATTTATATCGTTTGCCGACGATACAAACATTCTTTACTCAACAGATAATTATTCATCAATAATGATGATTTGAACGATAAATTGGCCAACGTGTCATACTGGTTTAATAGTAATAGATTTTCTTTAAATACTGAAAAGTCCAATTTAATATATATTTTTACAATAAAACATCACATATTCATTCCAACATTTGTGAAAATTTAAAAATATCAATGAATGATAACGTTATCCAAAGAGTCCACACAGTTACATTTGTAGGCGTTCATTAATGAAAGTATGTCATGGACTGACCAATTATTTTGTATATTTCTAATGAAGTGTCAAAGAGTGTTGGTATCGTTGGAAAACTCCGCACAGTTTTACCTCAAAGCATATTGATATTGTTGTACAATACATTTATTATACCATATTTGTCTTATTGTAATACTGTTTGGACAAATACCTATACAAATCAAAATTGAACTCTCTTTTTTCGTTACAAAAGAAAGTGGTTAGAATTTGCTCTCTAACTTAATTCTTATCGTGCCCATACTAGACCATTATTTATGAATTTCAAGATTCCTGATGTGTATCAATTAAATGAATATCGCATCTCAATTTTATTATTTAAACACAATCAAGGTCTTTTGCCCAGTTCACTTAACAATATGCTTTCACTCAGGCGCGTACGCAGGGGGGAGGGTTGGGGGGGGGGCTACCCCCCTCAAATTGTTTTAGGTGGGGGTTTAGGATGATAACCCCCCCCCCCTCCTCACTTTTTTTTCTTCAAATGTAAAACAAAATAAAAAATAAAAAATGTTGTGCTGTAAGGTGACGAAAATAAACTGACCTTACTGACACACCCCCCCCCCCCCCCCTGAACGAAATATCGGTCGGCATAATTTTCCAATTCCCGGGAGAAAAAAAAGAGGTGCCCCGTCGTGAAAATTTGCTCATACCGATTTTTGGTGGGCAGCGCACATGCGTGACTCGTCGTTGCCATGTAAACACGGAAGCGAGGAGAGCCGAGCCGGGCACATGAGTACAATTAATCTTCTAGAAGTTTACATTTACACTGCAAAAATCGATGAAACTTCGGCAGGCGTTTTAAAAAAACCACACTTCAAAGGTGGATTTTTCGATTTCGATTTTTCGTTGCGTTTGCCGGTAGTTGCTATGCTATGCAACTGCTATAGCGAAACACCGGAATGTGAGAAAAGTCGACGATTGTTGGTTGCAGTGTAAATGCAACTCTTATGTCTCTACGTCAGAGGACATTTCAGGTTTCTTCACTATTTTAGGAAACAACATAAAGATGAAGGTAAGAACATCGACCAAGGCGAGGAGTTTGAATGTTGCGTCATATGATGAAAACTTGTCAGCCACGAACCCTGTATTGAAAGACAATTTAAAATGAAAAATAGGGCAATGACGATAGGAAGAGGGGAGAAAGAGAAGGAAGTGATAAGGAAAGAGAGAAAAACAAAAAGAAAAGAGAGAGAGAGTGAGAGAGAGATGGGGATGGAAAGAGAGAGAGAGAGGGGGAGAGAGAGATGGGGATGGAAAGAGGGAGAGAGAGGGAGAGAGAGATGGGGATGGAAAGAGAGAGAGAGAGATGGGGATGGAAAGAGAGAGAGAGAGGGAGAGAGAGATGGGGATGGAAAGAGAGAGAGAGAGAGAGAGAGAGAGAGAGAGAGGATTATTGTGCATTTTTGTAAAGAAACTCTAATTATTATGAAAATCTTCTCATAGCCTACGGGTTATAAAAATCCCGTGAACTCCATGATAAAAAGTCCACGTGATTATTACTCCAAAACAAAATAGTTTCGGTTTCATGCTTCCCATGTTTACCCCACACAATTTAGTATTTTGTTTGGGATTCACCGTCCTGCTAATCTGAAATATTTATTCTAAAACGTACTATTGTTAGAAAACAAGTATTTTCTTTCTTAGGTTGAAGTAAAATGTGAACTTACGAAACACGATACCGAAGCGTTTTTTTTTTTTTTTTTTTTTTTTTTTTGGGGGGGGGGGGGGGGGTAAAACTCGGAAAACGAAAATCACAATGAAATTTTGACCAAGATGAATATTAGGGTGATGAAGTCTGAAACTCAATATTGAGGGAGAACTTTTTATTTCTTTGTTATTGAATTACTAGAATTTAATTTCTCAATTTGTTTATGATGGAGCTGGCATTTTCTTGTTTAATAAAGTGAATAGAAGAATTAAGAATTTGTATAAAATTACAATCATGACTTATTCACCATTAAAATATTGTTAATAATTCGTTATCTGGCTATACCCGGGGGGGGGGGGGGCTAGTCACATATTAGGACATACGGGGTGTGTCGCTGTACGTAATGGGTAACTTTTCACAAACAAATCCTTAAACACGGGTCCCACTTTTAACCAACATACCATTAAAATGGGTCCGTTTTTTTAAAATTTGCAAAATTTTCGGGTGCTTGCCATTCAAATACCCGAAAAACACCAGAAAATTGTGGAAAATGTCCCCAAATTAACCCTAATAATGGGTAGGGGTTTCGAGGCTTGAGCACACTCCCGTCCAACCCAAAATCTGAGTATCCCCCGGGGGCGTTATTTTTGTCTGCGGCACAGATTGGGGCTTTTTTAAAAAAGAGGTCTTGATTTAACCCTTAACCTTAACCCTAACCCTAAACTTTCACATAGGCTCAACACGCACCTAAACCCAATCTGTGCCGCAGAAAAAAAATAACGCCCCCGGGGGCTATACTGTGCCGTCCGAGTCAGCTTTATTGTTTTATACTCGCTGGAAAACTGTCTTTGAAGGAGAAAATTGTGATTTCATACCTGATAAATATCCACCGAGAAAAAATCCGGAAGCTTCCACGAGATTGTTCACACTTAAGGCCATGGGAACATTTTCGGGTGAGACTCGGTTCCTGATAATTAGAATTCCCAGCACGGCTCTCCCAGCAATGGCAGCCACTGAACAAAATGACGTCACCAGCATGACGTAATAATGAGGAAGGAATGCATCACATGTCAACGAAATGATGTTTACGATGGTTAAAACGAGGTAAATGTTGACTGGATCAACTAGTTTGTGGGTTAGGCAAGCGATGATGAGTCGAATAGAGAGGTTTCCAACAGCAGCAACGAAGGTGATTATGATTGTATCATGTTGAGAGATTCCTCGTTGGAGGGCATGTGGAAGAAGAAAGTCGTGCCATCCATTGTATACGAAAAAGAGCGTGTCAATGGATAGGAAAATGAATAGAGAAAAGGGGTCGTCATAGAACCCCATACTACGAAACCACGATGAAATCTTGCCGGGAATACCGTTAATGTATGCCAGGCGATTCTTGTGAGGTATTTCATTGTCTGGGGATGGATGATCCGCATCAATTCTCACGTACCTATCGTGTCTAGCTGAAGAGGTCAAGAGCGGAGTCATGTCAGTGTCTTTGACGGCATCATCACGGTCAGTGTCTTTGACAGCATCATCACGGTCATTGTCTCTTTCTGCGTCCGAACAGCTCCTGACACTTCCTGCAATCGAGATCGTATCGGATTCCACTTGTTCCAGACGTCTCTGCAACCCCTCATAATCTCTTGGCGTGAAGTCCTCTGGTGTTATCCGAATGGCTAAGGCACAGGGGATGATGTTTAACATGACACCTCCGAGAATCAGCAGAACCCCTCGCCAATCATACGCCGTCAGCAGTTCATCTGCCAAGAAAGGGAATAGAACCATTCCTGCAGCGTATCCGCAAGTCGATAGGCTGAACAAGAGGTTGAAGTTCTCACCGGCAAGCCTGTGGAGGGCAGTGATGCAGGTCATACGCAAAGCGCAGTATCCAGCTCCTGTGATAATGAATGTTGATAATGAAAGTCTCAAAACTCAAAACAAAACAAAACAAAACAAACCACGAAAAAAAGAACCAACATCAACAAAATAATAAAAAAAACAAACGAGAGTCAAAGTCTGAGTTAATTTGCACTATGAGGTATTGTTCTATGACTTCAGAATTCCTCGAAAGTCTCTGCAGTAATGCAAGGAAGTTTTAATATTCATATATTTATGTTTTCTATGTTGTTTATAGCCTACAGGGTATAGTCACTTCAGTTCATAAAAAACTGCTTTGCATTAGAGAGTTTTTCCGCGTGAAGACGTCAAAATATAAAAAAGTAGCAGTCTTTTTCTAAAGGATAAATGTTGATATGACGAAAAGAACAGTGTCACAATGTTAAGCCTTTTTACAAGATATCGTGTCTCAGGTTTAACCGACGTGGCAGCGCTGCCTGAACAAGGTTTAATATCCCATGTAGCAAATTTAGACAAGATTAGCTTGCGATAAATCGTGCCAAAATAATGCAACGTAGCATATACATTTTTCAATTTAAAAAAAATGAGACAACAACAGCAACAACAGCAATGTATAACGCGTTAACTGCCCGAGTGTGTGCGCGAGCAATTAACGCCGCCCGCTATCGCGTTCTCCCAGCTCCCGCGCCCCCGCGTTTAATCTTGTAGCGGCAGCTTCAGTTAAAGTCCACTCCAAAACTAAATCAAAAGACAAATTGGAAATTCACTCATGAGTCTGTGACGTCATGTCTTCACTATCCACTAATTGTTTTCTTTATATTGATAATATAAATTTCCTATTTCCCTCCTAAGAATCTGATTTCTTCATACCAGCATCCAAGTTAGATTGATAGTAATATGTTTTTGTGTGGATGCAATAATAAAGAGTAATTTTTTTCGGTTGAATCATGAAAAATGTGACTTTGGATAAACTATTTTTAAAAATCAATAATTATGAATATACAAAATTCAGAAAATAGTATCAATTCTTCAAAGTTCATCAAAGATTGTGTGCTATCTCATGCACGCAATATGATACAAATCATATAACCTGGGCAAAGGCATGTGGAAATCAAGTTTTGGGGGATAAAAAGAGAAATTAATGGGATTAAACTATATAACGCAATTGATAAATACTGAGGACATGACTTCACAAACTGATATTCAAATTGGCAATGTGTGTAGTGGTTTTCATTGTTCTATAGTTTTCACATACTTTTTCAGAAAGTCATAACTTTCTTATTAGATATCCTATTTTGCTCAAACTTGTTTTGATTGCTTTGTCTGGATTTTCTGCTTCTATTGAAAGAAAATTATTTTTGGAGTGGACTTGGCCCTAAAATTTCAAGTCACGAGACCTTGTCAAAAGCCTATGTAACTTCATACATAGCTTAATAAACAAAACAAATTACCAGATACTGCTAAGGCGATGAATAAATGCAAATTGCACGTGGCCATAGACGCAACGATGATGGGAGTACTCCCCATAGTGGCACCACAAATTAAGAGAAGACGAGGATGGGAGGTTCGGGTAATGACAGAAGCCACAAAGGGAGCTGCAATGAAAAGACAAAATAAGGCACAAGAGAATTTTACAAATTAAACTGTATGAAGAAGAAAAAAATAAATGCAATTAAAATGCCATCGCTGTAGTACAAGTAATATAATGGTGATAATGATGATCATAATTGATCCAAGGAAGCCTTAATACTTTTCTTCATGAGGGCCATGCGATAATACTTTGTTACCCCCACAGGCGTATTCAGGATTTTTTAATAGGAGGGAGAACGGAAACATCAAGGATCGACTAAGCAGGAAAAAAAATCCGCATCACCACCATTCTTACATGCAGGCCCCTATGAACGTTTTTCAACGGAGGGTGGGAGAGGCTTAAGTATTTACGATCAATAGAGCATAGCGCAAATTGGCGTGGGGTTAAAGGCAAAGCCCCGAAGGGGTCAAGGGGCCTTTACGGTCAGATCATCAGTGAGGATATTTTGATACCTTATTCATGACTCTGGCAGGTCACTGCTAGATCTTAAAAAGGCTTTTGATACCGTTGGCTATGTGTTACTATTGAGAAAATTATGTATGTACGGGTTGGATGAACCATATCACAGCTATGGTTTTCGAACTATTTACATGGTCGAGTACAATCTACATTCTGTTAACGGTATTATGTCAGAATTTTTGCCAGTTGAATGTGGAATTCCCCAAGGATCCATTTTAGGAGCCTTACTTTTTATATTGCATGTTAATGATTTGCCACGTGGCCTCACCCTCTGTAAAGTAAGCATGTATGCTGATGATACGGTAATATATTGTTCGGCAAATAGTACTATAGATTTAAGTAAGAAGATAAATGAAGATCTAGAATATGTTAAAAAGTGGTTGATACAAAACAAACTAAATTTGAATATAAAGAAAACTGAATATATTTTATTCGGTACGAAACAACGTCTGGATAAAGTTCAAGATACTAATTTAAACATTACTATAGTTAGTAAGTGTAGACACCTTGGGGTAATTTTACATGAAAGGTTATCATGGCAGGAACATATTAATACTATTCATAAAAAAGCAAGTAACGGATTATTTATGCTGGCTCAAATCTATAAGAAATATAGTAAATTAATATGAAATGAAATTGGTTTATAATTCACTAGTATTGTCTCACTTAAATTATTGTGATGTAGTATGGGGTGGATGTGGAAGTACACAGAAAAACAAATTACCAAAAATTCAGAATAGAGCAGCACGAATAATTAATAGGTCCTTTTGGTATTCCTCATCAGATGAAAATTTAACAAGACTAAATTGGAATACACTTGACAATAATAGAACAAAGAATGTAGCAATTATGATGTATAAGATTGTCTCAAAACAAGCTCCTGAATATTTAGTAGACAGGTACATATTTGCTGACCATACATACAATACACGTTCAAGTCTGTATGATGTGAAAACAATAAGACCAAAGACTAAGACTATGAAAAGATCTTTTAAATATAGAGGGGCCTTAACATGGAATAACTTAAGGTGCTAAATCGTTAAATATTTTTAAGGCAAAGCTGACGAAATGGGGAGGGGCTAACTTATTAATTTAGTTAGCTGTGTTTTTGTTTGTTTTTAAGGCTTTTTATTTGTATACATATCTGTATAATGTTAATCTATTTATCATTCTTATTTTTATGCAATATGAAAACCATTTTTTGTTTAAATGTCTTATTGTGTGTAATATGATTTATGCAATACGATATCAGTTTCTGTCTCTTTAAAAACAAAAACAAATTATAGTTGTAGTATATAACTGATCCATATTCATATGCTCTTTAGTATGTATTATTATTCCATACTTCATTTTACTTCTACACTATATGGAATACGCATTTGTCTTATTTTCATAAGTATAATATGTGTAATATATAACTTTTACATGTAGGCCTATTTGTGTTTTTGTTTTTTGTTTTTTTCTAATTTAAAGTTTATTTATTTAATATTTAACATAAATTCATAAATATGGTCTTAACTTATTTAATATCTTGTTATACTTCTTTTTGTTTTTACAATATATACATATATATATACATATATGCCAACAGATTATGATGATCATAACTTATTTCAATTGTTTATCTTTTGGGCCTATCAAAATAGATTTAATTAACTAAAGTATTTTTAGCTTATTTTCTATATATTGTCGTGTTATGGTTGTAAATTTGTCAGTGTTATATTACTTTTGTTTATATGGCATGATTATGTTGTTTTTTTATCAACACGGCCCTGATTGAAACCAGTCTGCGTACTGTTTCGGGCTTTTACCGTGTATAAATAAAATAAACTCAACTCACTAATTGACGTGGGATCCATGAAACTCAGGATCTGAGGCATTTTATAATGGTCAGATAAGCATTTTGTATGAGAGTCAGCCTTCATCAATCATTGCTCCCACATTTTGTATTTTCAATTACCTATCCATTCTGCTTAATAAACGTGTTAATCTATTTCATTAATTTTTGTCTGGGACTGTTGTATTATATCAAGCAATCTGCTTACAATGACAGTCCTTCTTCCGCAAATAATTGTATAATGTTTAAGGAAATTTAATATGTATGACAGTTTATAATTTCGTTTTAAGTAATAACAACTTATATTTGCTTACATATGATTTGTTGTCAGAAAAATGCTTATTGTGCTTTATATGATTATTGTTATCGAAAAACTGTATACTTACATGAATGCAGAAGAAAATCAAATCAAATCAAATCAAACAATTATATGAAATATACCGATGTAATATCCTTGATTGAATAATAAGAGAACGGTTATGAAGTATAGTATTATTACTTGATAATAAGCCGACTGTATAGAAGAGACCAAGCGCGATTCCCAGATCAGTCGAACTCATCTGAATGGACCGTGAGAGGTGTCCAAAGAGGATTCCCATAGCCTTGACAAGACCAATCTTAGAACAGGACTCCATGATCAGGATCAGGACTACTGGAAAACAAGGGGATCCCACTATGCTGCTGCACCAAGCCATCTTCAGAGGAATAATTCTAGTCCCACTGATTAATTTTGTGATCTACGAAGCACGTGTTGAACAACAGAAAGTGTCGTGCACTATTAAGATCGCGAGCTGCTTCAGGAGGGTAAACCGTTATACACTCTCCAAGCAATATCTCCAATCAAGATGTATAACGTCGTCGGTTTTAAGAACCGTCATAATAATGGTCACGGAAAACATCCCAATCAGGAGGAAAATAGCTGTAATTTTAATAAGATCCAAAATCTGCAGGTGAAAAAGGTCGGCAAATTAACATGCAACGTTGAATTATCACGCTTGGTTAACACACTGACAACATACGAATCAAGAAGAAAGGTCAGAATAATATTGGCATCCGAACAAATCTCCAATTAGAATTCAATATCAACGCAAGTAACACCAAGGAGTTTAAAGAGCTGGAGTCCCAACTAGCAACAAATTAATTCAAGCAGCTGCCGTTTTCTAAGGTTGCATAATAAAAATCTACAGGTGTGCTGTTCCCACTGATGTCCGAGGTTCGAAGCCGCCAACATCATTGGAAAGCTTGAGTAGTGATTTGTTTCACAAAGAAATATCGTTAATATTTCACTTTTATTTAAACTAACAAGGTGAAAATCGAAGAGATGATTATGAATACAAAAGCCTAATTGTGTCAAGAAATGTACATTCATTGTATAATAGCAGTTTTAAATTGGTGAAAAATAGTAAAATTTTACAACCCTAAAACCTGCAATTTGACACTTTTCCGATTACTTCCGGCTCACGAAAATAAAAATTGAATTTGTTCTTGTACAGTTCTTTATGATGTTATATTTCAGATTAGTGCCCACACATGCCCAGTCGAGTAGATTTTATTGATATTTCAGGAAATTTTGCTCCATTTCCTTTCGCTTAATTGCACTGCTCGTATTATCAGACGAGTGGTACCGAAAAGTAATTCTCATTACAAAAGCATATTTCCCTTTGAAAGTGGCCGTTAGTTTGCAGCTAGGCAGGAATCGTGTGTCTAAATATCTGCAGGAAAATCCACTTCAGCACATGTCTGACATATTCTTTCCTGGCAGCATTGAAGATGGTATACCAAAAAAAATGAGCTATATACTCCATCTCTTAAAACTCCTTGGTAACACACAGAACCCAATTGAAGGTTTTCTTTTATGTGCGAGTAGCGGGATAGCGGTTAAGATCGATTACCTCATCACTCGTTAGGCGACAACCTTTTTGTCAATGTACTTGTAAAAAAAAAATCACAAACAAAAGAAGGTTATTTCCATCTCAAAGCGTTTTAAAGGTACTATGTCCCATTTGCAGGCCAACAATATGAAAAGGTTAAATTCCAACGGCATTTGAAAGATAAAACTAATTTAGAACTTCCCTAAAAAAGGTGGAACTCGAAAGAAGGTTATTTCCATCTCAAAGCGCTTTAAAGGTACTATGTCCCATTTGCAGGCCAACAAAATGAAAAGGTTTAATTCCAACGGCATTTGAAAGATAATACTAATTTAGAACTTCCCTAAAAAAGGTGGAACTCGAAAATGCCTTCAAGTGGGAAAATAACGACTATTAGTTGACAAATCGACTTAGGAACTATAGAGCCAATAAGTAATAGTCTTGATTTTCAGACCATTGTACCGAATGGTCATACGTTTTATGCTGCGCAAAGATTTAATCAGTTTAATTTTGGCCATCACAAGAAGTGGGTTATTGATGTAGACAAATGCTCATGTACCCTTTACAGCTCATTTTATATATGTTATTACCAAAGAAGAAAAAGCCAGTCAGTCACTCAATAGTGTCTGACTGTGAAGTCTAGCAAGTAAACGGGTTTCCTTGCATAATTTGAATATAAGGACACTGCTAACGTTTATATTTAACAGATAGGACATACATGAAATATTCATAATTCCTGCAGAGTTCTACAGAATTTGAGGTTGGCTGCAAAAGGGACATAGTACATTTAACAAAACTCGCGAAAGAGCCGCCCTCGGCGACCTTTCGTGCACTTTGTGTGAGCGATATAAGGTGTTGAAAGGCTAGGACTTACTTGACAATTGACACAATGGTGGATAGGAAAAACAAAACAAAAGAAGTTGGTGGATGTTATCCTTTACAGAATTATAATAGTGATAATAATTATGTGCCTAGCACTTACTTCACAGAAGTCTCTAAAGGGCTCTACAATAAGGCAGCATGTACAGTGGGAACTCTTTCCTTTGATTAGTACACCGATATCCCCTTTTAATTTTATTATTATATCAAATACAAGTATTTTTTTCTTGGAAGGGCAGGGCCTATATGTTATGTGTAACTTAATCTTCGGTGAAGAAATATAAACCGTAAGAATTGAGGGAAGGTGTACCGTATTTGGGTGCAGCTTTTTCTAAATTGGAAAAAACTATTATGACATCAGTCATGCCTGTATTGGAAGAGAGTGCTCAATATTTCTTATTCTTTGATCTATTTCGATCTCTGTAAACTTTAACTTATTTTTTCTCGTTCTGTTTGACATATCGTGCTTAGATTCAAACCACCATTACATGAATGGTTAATTCTTTCTTTGAATGATTTTTTTTTCTTCAAGATCTACAAATGGATCCAGCCATCCAGGATTGTCGGGGAGTGGGGGCACAATTCATAAGAAAATAAGTTTTCTTAGAGACTAGAGTGCCTTTTCAATCAAGAAATGACCAGCTGGTTTTCTAAAAATCACATTTCGTCCAAATACAAGAATCAGTTCCCCACACATCAATAATATCAATTAACAATGTTCTAAATTTTGAAAATCTGTCATGGACGAGACTATCTTGAGAATGTTACCGAGATCAAATATTTAGGCGTAACCCTTGACCAAAGTCTAAGTTGGACACCACACATATTTAATGTGACTAATAAGATTAATGGGGCTATTGCATGCACTAGAAGGATTAAGAGTTACTTGAACCAACGCCTTCTGAAAAATCTTTATTACTCCCTCATTCTTCCACATATACACTGTCGCTCATATAGTTGGAATATTTTTGTTTTACCCGAATTTATGGAATTATTTTAAAACTAATTTATTCCTAATAGATCTAGATAATACACTGTTGGTCATAATGGTGGAATAATTATTTTTACCTCAATTAATAAATGATTTTGACAACGATTTATTCCTAATAGATCTAAGTAATAGTATACATTCTCAGATTTGTATTGAATATTAATGTGCGAGTGTTTGTTTTGCGTGACTACATGTCAAGGCCCCGGCACCAGGCGCGTACGCAGGGGGGGGGGGGGGGGGGGGGGGGGGGGGGGGGGGGGGGGGGGGGGGGGGGGGGGGGGGGGGGGTGGGGGGGGGGGGGGGGGGGGGGGGGGGGGGGGGGGGGGGGGGTTTTGGGGGGTTAAACCCCCCCCCCCTTTGGAAATTTTTTGTGTGTAACCCCCCCCCCCCCCCCCCCCCCCCCCCCCCCCCCCCCCTTTTGGATTTTTTTTTTTTTTTTTTTTTTTTTTTTTTTTTTTTTAAATTATTAAAAAAAAAAAAAAAAAAAAAAAAAAATTATTCCCATGGCCGACCTAAAAAAGGTGACCTTACCCCCCCCCCAACGGAGCAAAATGTCAAATTTGGCTGAGTCGTTGCGAAATTTTCGGACCGATTTATAAATGTTAAACCCCCCCCCCCCCCCCCCCCTTGAAAAAATCCTGCGTACGCGCCTGCGCGGCACCTTCACTTTTTTGAAAAAGTATGTTGAAGAGAACCTGCCAGTGTCACAAAATATGAGATATCAAAATATGCTCATCTGACCGTAATTAAATATCTAAAATCCATGAGCGTGCGGGGGCTCCGCCCCTTAAGCCCTACAAGGGGCTCTTAGGCGGGCCCCTGGATGCCCACCTGACTGTAATTAAATACCTAAAACCCCTGAGCTTTAGGAGGCTCCGCCCCCTTGACCCCACGCCAATTAGTGACCTGCCATTGTCACAAATTAGGTATCAAATTTTTGCTCATCTTACCGTGATTTAATGCCTAAAACCCCTGAGCTTCATGGGGTCTGCCCTCCCCCCGCCCCGCCCCGCCCCCCGCCCCCACTTTGAAAAACGTTCTGCGGTGCATGAATGTTTCAAGTTTCAAGTTTATTTCAAGTTTATTTTATTTCACTTTATCAAAAAATAACATAATTGAACATAATGAACAAAGGTAATTATTATAACTAAACATACAATATAGAAAACATAATGTACATGATAATAGTTATAACAGAGAATACATTAATTATCTTGATACCTCATTATTTTGTGACAATAGAAGGTCACTATTTTTTCTTTCTTTCTCACTTTTTTACATTTCTCTTTAATATACTTTTTCAAAAAAGTGGGGAGGGGGGGGGGGGGTGAGGCCACCCCGAGCCCCGCCGTTCCGCGGAACCAAATTACATGTAGGCTTCTATAATAAGCTTACTTCTAACCTGCCTGAAATTTTGGGAAATCGTCATTTGCAAACACAAAGTATAATTTACTAAAAAGTTAGGAAAACTCGCTGGTTTCGAATTAGAAATAAACCACATTTTATTTTTTTTTCTTCAGTGGTATCCAGTGGCGTATCTGGCGCATGGTCTTGTTGGGGGGGGGGGCCGAGAGGGACGCAAAAGCATATCGTTTCCCCCTTTTCTTGTCTTTTTCCTCTTTATTTTCCTTCGCTTTCTCTCCTCATTCCCTTTTCCTTCCTTCTCTCTCTCTCTCTCTTTTCTTTGGCACCCCACCCCCTGGATCCGCGCCTGGCAGTGGCGTACCTGGGGTACTCCGTCAGGGGGGGCAAGCGACCGAAACAAACAAAAAAGGCGATGCTAATTTTCACTTCTGGCGAGCGAGCGAGCAAAAAAAATCTTTAAGTAACGTTTGGTATATAAACTGGTATTGTTGCAAGTTGGGGTGGGAACATTCACTTGTTAGCGACGTTACTTTCATTTTTTTGCAAACGAGTGTAGCGAGCAAGAAAAAAAATCACTTCTTTTTAATAATTG